CTGCGTATGCGTTGCTTGTTTTCCCATTCCTGGTTAAATTCTTCAATAAAATATGCAAGAAGTATTTGTTTTCTTCTTTTTTTTATGAAGTTTCTACCGAAATGAAACGAAGTAATTTCTTAAGAGAATTTAAGAAGAGCATATCATAGATGTAATGAAGTCTAAGACTGAAATCGGTGGTTCTTCGAAAAAATCTAGGAAATTCTTAAAGTAGGAATAACACAAAAAATGACGGAAATTATCACGGGTTAGCTGTACAAATGTACAGGCCTAGGGGCACAATTTTAGAAATATTTGGATCATGACAAAGTGACTTTTCGGTACTTAGTTCTTACAAGTGAAGAGCTATTGATTGTCATGTTTAAAAGTCATTCTTGCAGACTTTGTCTGAGTGGTTTATGTAATATGTAGTGACAAATGAAATATTCACAAATATTATCATTAGGAGGATAAAAATATATAAATACTGATGGCCAGAGTTCCTAACATAACAAATAGGTTAATGAAGGAGATTTTAGAGAGATTTTTATTGTCAGATACTGTAGAACTAGAATACATTACGGTGTTTTTAATTTCACTATGTTCACGATTTAAGAATTTTCCGCGAACTTTAAACCATCGTTATTATTAATTCACTTCATTTCTACCTAAAAGCAGACATAATACCTGAATATTTATAAACGATTTTCCCTGAAATTAAAACCACCGTGAAAGGTAACTTTCTAACAAACCGTGAAATTTTAGACACGTAAAATTACAGACGTCTACATTATACAAACACAGCAACTATAAAACAAAATGTCAAAACACTGTAACAAAGAAGATAGAGCAAATTTTAGTTAAACAAACAAACAAACAAAACACAGCAAAATAAAAACAACCAGTAAGCACAACAAAGAAATTTAAGTTAGAATTATGAAACTTCTCATTTGAATATTTAGTAGGTTTATGGAGAGAACAAACTTTTTCTAATATAAATTAGTGAAATGGAGAATTTGTTTTGAAGAACTTCTTTAGAAAAAAATCTTCAAGTAGGTCAAAGAAAGCAATAATTTCCAAAAAAAATCTAGTACCGTATAGCGGGTTTTCTTGGCTGGTGTAAAAATATGGCGTTTTGTCTGCTCAAATATTTATATAGCAAATGTATCACTGTATAGGAAAAATCTCTTGATCTACTTTATTAAAAAAAATTAGGTGTACCTTTTTGACAATAATGGCATAATTTAACTTCGAAGGTTTAAGAGAACTCAGCTTTTTATCCTGTATAGTGTAGAGGTGTAATTATATGGTGTTTCATGCATCTTTTAATGGTTTGCTTGCAAAATGCATAGCTATAAAGGGATTTTGTTAGATATCAAAAACCCTCCTATTTCATGAATCATGAAAATTTAAAATTTGATATGGCATTCAAATTCAAACATATAATTTAAGTTTAGTTTGATCATTTAATTATTCTTAATGTTACATTGGTTTTGGACTTAAGTCTGTTCTCAGTTTATGGTCTTGGGTCTTCGAACAAACTGATGGTTATTATGATGGGCACTAATTGTGCTTCTTTATTTATTTAGCTGACCTGTTTTTATATTTCCATGAAGCAAAAACTTCCACATGAAAAGAAGAAAAGGCTAGGTGTGGCCTAGAACTCACCATTTAGACATATCGACGATGTTTTATTAATAAACAATTAGTTACTTTCATCCCAATGTCGATTCGATATATAGAAGTGAACTTAATATAAAAGATACTACCGACTCTAGCTGCCTCATCTGTTTCATGTTTGGATGTTTTACTAACTATAGATGATAAGATACTACCGAGTCTAGCTGTCTCATCTGTTTCATGTTTGGATGTTTTACTAACTATAGATGATAAGATATTACCGAGTTTAGCTGTCTCATCTGTTTCATGTTTGGATGTTTTACTAACTATAGATAATAAGATATTACCGAGTCTAGCTGTCTCATCTGTTTCATGTTTGGATGTTTTACTAACTATAGATGATAAGATATTACCGAGTCTAGCTGTCTCATCTGTTTCATGTTTGGATGTTTTACTAACTATAGATAATAAGATACTACCGAGTCTAGCTGTCTCATCTGTTTCATGTTTGGATGTTTTACTAACTATAGATAATAAGTTATTACCGAGTCTAGCTGTCTCATCTGTTTCATGTTTGGATGTTTTACTTACTATAGATAATAAGATACTACCGAGTCTAGCTGTCTCATCTGTTTCATGTTTGGATGTTTTACTAACTATAGATAATAAGATACTACCGAGTCTAGCTGCCTCATCTGTTTCATGTTTGGATGTTTTACTAACTATAGATAATAAGATACTACCGAGTCTAGCTGCCTCATCTGTTTCATGTTTGGATGTTTTACTAACTATAGATAATAAGATACTAAAGCTGTCTCATCTGTTTCATGTTTGGATGTTTTACTAACTATAGATGATAAGATATTACCGAGTCTAGCTGTCTCATCTGTTTCATGTTTGGATGTTTTACTAACTATAGATAATAAGATACTACCGAGTCTAGCTGTCTCATCTGTTTCATGTTTGGATGTTTTACTAACTATAGATAATAAGATATTACCGAGTCTAGCTGTCTCATCTGTTTCATGTTTGGATGTTTTACTTACTATAGATAATAAGATACTACCGAGTCTAGCTGTCTCATCTGTTTCATGTTTGGATGTTTTACTAACTATAGATAATAAGATACTACCGAGTCTAGCTGCCTCATCTGTTTCATGTTTGGATGTTTTACTAACTATAGATAATAAGATACTACCGAGTCTAGCTGCCTCGTCTGTTTCATGTTTGGATGTTTTATCAAACTACAAATGATAAGGGCAAACTGTAGGACAAACTAGATGACATTAACTTTTCCATTGTTAACTGTACTTTGTAGTAATATTCTGCAATCGTCAGAGTTCCCGGGTACAATCAATTTAAACCGAGGCAGGTTACTGACAGATAAGTTTTCAACGACCCAGTTAAAAGTCGTCAATTTGTAGATTCTATGGTCGACCTTAGCAAATGTAAGTTTATTATATCATTGAGTATTTTGGCTGACTTGATTTAAACCAATTGTTAGACCTTTATTTTATACTGAAATTGACCACGGAATGTTCTGTCTGACTGATCAATACATAGGGCCCATGGCGGGTGTGACCGATCAAAAAGTGGATGCTTACTCCTTCTGGGCACCTTATCCCACTTCTGGACGTTCCAGTGGTCCGTGTATATGCCTTTACATAGATGTGTATTATCTATAGATCGATCAGTGTTCATAACCTTCACTTTTATCATACTTAGTAATCTGTTTTCTACAACTCTCTTATATGATTCAGAATGAAATATATGATGATAACAACATTATTCAAGCTCAAGGTACATTAAACCTTACAAAATTGGAGCAGAGCAAATACGGACCTCCAAAACACCGGAGGTGGAATAGGTGCCATAGATGTTTGAGCATCCCCTGCCGACCAGTCAAACCCGCCGTGTTTTCTTTGCCTTGATCGCGAAATGACGAGAAAATCCGTCGACAATTCAGTTTATAAATAATTGTATACAATTAGCATAAAAACGTCAGTCAGCATTTGACTTAATGATAAATTGTATTTGCTGACGAGGTCATGGTATCGACCATAGAGCTAACGAAATGATGACTATTAATAGTCTTGTTTCATCAACATGGTTGTCAATAATTTACCTTGTTTTAGAAATTGTCCATATGGAGAGCATGCTCTTGCGTATCGAATCAACTGAGAGATATTAATCCCGTATGCAGGGGATGGAGGTACATGCTTATTGCTGCATAAGCAAGGGAAGTTGACGATTGAAAAGTTCAAGTTATCACGTTTATCATAAAGCTTTGTTACTAAATTATCACAAACGTCTTTTTCAAGTAAAATATCCAAATATGAAACAGATATGACGTACAGACTCTGTGGTATCTTTTAATTCAAGCTCACCGTGATATTAATCGTATCGACATAAGAATGAAAATAACCATTGTTGATTGACAATACGTCGTCAATATACCTAAATGTTGAGTTGAAATCCACAGCAAGTGTTTTTTTCTCTCTTTTCACGCATAAGATTTTAAATTAAACGAAGATACTGTAGCTTTGTTTTTTAAAATATATTCATTTGTGATAGAAGTTTTGTTTTACTTAGCTATGATATATCAATTTTACGACCAATATTTACCTTTTTGAAAGCGGTCGAGTTAGATTCAAAACTGTGATGTCAAAAGTTTTTTTTTTTTCATCAATTTGTGCTTACAAAGTATTTAATTTTTATTTGTTTGTTTGTTTGTTTTGGTTTTTAGTTTGTTTTATTTTGTTTGTCTATTTTTACACTTACTTGTAGCGGTATTTTTCTCTAATAAAGGACACATTGGTTTATTGTCTAAGGATTATTTGTAGAGTCGAAGATGTTTTGAGGATCATAACTAGTGTCATTTTGCGAAAAAGTATGCGGAAACATTTTGTATTCGTCATTTACTGTTCTCAAAATGATGTGATAATTTGTTGAGTTCCTGTCTGTATTAGTCATGTACACAATGTGATGCAAGAATACTGATATCTGTATTTAAATAAAAATTATGTTTAAATATTTTATGTTTATAAATGGTGATCATTTCGATGTCTACAAGTGACTCTAAATTAAATGCAATGTTTCACGGAGATTAAAAAAATATTAGATAAAATTATTCTTAATGTGAATAACCATTGGTCTTAAGATACTCTGATAATTATTTCTTAAATAAGGTATTTCACTGTTATATTTATGTGAATGATCGATAATTGTCTTTGTACTTTTGGGGGACGCTGAAAAGAATTCTACAACATTCAAATACTAAAAAACTAAACAGACAAGTTTCTTCAAAAACTTGAAATAAGTATGATGGATGAAAACAATAAGGAAAGAGTTTCTATTGCGAACTTGCGATAGAGAAAAATAAAAAAATTGAAAATTCTCACAGTTGGAACGTCCGCCATATCCACATATGTAAAGAATGGGTCTGTTAAAATTTTTGACTGATCACTCTCTGTCTCAATGCTACTCCAGTATAAATCACAAATTAGATTTTGTCTGTTATAGCTCACAGATACACATTTACCGCGGGATTTGCATTCTCTAATGCACATAATATATCCGAGACCATTCACAGAATCCAACAAACGATCTTTCATTCGAACACCCTCTTGCTTTTTCAATCCCGTGGACCAAACTTTCGAAGCTACAAAATCCCTCGATATTATGTACAACAGAAATAAAGCTAATAATTTCTCAAAAAATCCCAAAAAATTTCTCATGGTTTTCAAATAAGGTTTTTTGAAGATTTTAAAAGGAAAGTTAATTTCGACAACCATCAGATCGACTACCTCGATCCATGACTTGCCAACTCTGCCAAGATTTTTAGTTGATGTCTGAGCCGAGACCGCTATCGATTATTGAAAAAACATAAAATTGTTTCAATTAGAATTCTGGCACTAAAAGTAGCAACATCAAAATCCTGAGATACTTTACAGATAAAATTCTAATTATTCCTGTATAACACATGCAAAAGATCAATTACCGTTTAATGCAATTATACAACAGGCCCATTAACCGTGATTCTGTTCCGTATTAATTTGTTCCTAGTGAAAATTAAATACATATCTTCACAAACGATAGAAGTAAATATCTAGAAAACAAAATGACACATTGCTATATTTTGTTCGTAACACTTTGAAATCCTGATTTCTATATTTGGACAGTCTTCTTTGTGATTGACCCTCTTGCCTTCTTGCAACCCTTCTTGTTTTGTCTAGAAAAAAAACGAAATAAAATATCGAATCCCAAATTAAAAATCCTTTTATTGACAAAGTGGAAGGGAGTAGTGGGTGTCAACTTTCGGATTTGTTTTCTCTCCCTTTTTTATATGAATTGTATGAGATAGTTCTAATGTTACAAAAAAGGAAGCACTTATTATACGATGGTTAGGGTAGAGGTGGGATAGGGGTAGAGACTTTGAATGAAAAATAAAAAGAATAAATGCTAATAAACAATATGTCTAAACTGTACTGAAAACAAAGGACTGGTACAAGGACCTGTTGATATGACATGGAATTGTTTTGAATGAATCTCAATGAAATAAAAAAGCAGGTAAATTTAAGGATTATGCTGACAATTTTTTTATCATTAAATGAGGCATATTATTTATTATATATTTCCCTCTCGCAATATTCATACAAAATTTCAATTACACATGTATCTGCATCGTATATTTGATTAAATACTAAATCAGAAAGTAACGTCAAATTACTTTTCTATGTCTCTTAATTTTACATCATTTTGACGTTACCAAATTACACGATGTCTATACATGCATTTTAAAACACTTCTCGAGGAATCATCAAAATATTGCACCCAGGACCGCTTATTATTTGAGGGAAAAAAATATAAAAGAATTATATTTTAAATAGATGACATTAAACGTGATGACTTTTTTTTTACGTCAACTTTTTTTCCAGCATTATACCTTCACCACCTGTATACGGGGTTTATATTCCTCAGTTGATTCAGCTAGAGCATGCTCTACCAAGGAACAATTTCTACACGATTTAATTTGATGAAACAAGAATATCTTCAGTTTCGTTTAAAGTCACCATCTCGTAAATTCTATGGTCGATACACGGACCTTGCCAGCAAAATTCAAAAAGTCAAATGCTGACTGACGTTTTTTCAAACTAATTGTAAGACCATTATTTATACACTGATTTGTCGACGGATTTTTTTCCCCGCTATTTCCCGATCATAACAACTAGCACACTACAAGTGTCACGGTCGGCAGGGGATGCTATAATGATCCCACCTCTCATGCTTTAGTGGTCTGTGTTTTCTCTGCTCCAAATTTGTTTCGTTTAATGGTCTTTTGAGCTTGAATCATGCTCTATATCTCCATATATTTCCCTAAACGTTGAGTTAAAACCAAAGCTAGGATAATGATTTAGACAATTGTTCTGTGCACGAGGGGTTATCAAAAAGTTCGTGGACTAGCGCCATAAAATTAAAACCGCTCAAGGTACATCAATGAATTTTGAATTATCTAGTAAGCATCATCTTTTCTATCCAAAGAATAAACCACGAATCATGAATTTTATTTTTCTTATAAATTAGTGATGTTTTTGTAAGCAATGGTATGTCCAAGCGGCGCAACCTCGAAAACGACGTTTTTTTCGACATATGTTTATCTGAGAAAAACTTATTTTATATGATTATTTGACATCCAAAAATCCCGCAAATTCAGGAATGTGTCGGGACACAACTGTTCTATAAAGTATGAAATTTTCATTTCATTCTGGAAGTTCTTTGAAATTTTATCGTAAATTTTACACGGAATGTCTGAACAAATGAGGCCTTGAAAATGACGTCAAAAGGGGTGAGGGGTTTCCGTTTCCAACATTATATTAAGTTTTGCCCCTAAAAAAAAATAGTATAGACCTAAAATGAGTTGAAACTGGCTACAGAGAAATAATATGCATCTAGAGTACTTGTCTTTTAATGTCAGAATAGATTCAGAGAGTAAAGGGATACACAGTTAATGTCGATCTGCAGTCAAGGTGTGAAAAATCAATCCCGTCAAAAATGACGTTGATCATGTGTTATAGATATTGAACTCTTAAAAGCAAAATATGCCGGCACAATCAAGCGCGGATCTCTCCCAATGTATTAATCCATCTGGAATATTATATTCATTGAATGCCACTGTTAATGACATTGTAAAGTCATAAAAACAAGGCGGGTTTAAGTCCTTACTCAGCTCCAGGGAATCTCATCAAAAAAGTGTATGAGGTAGAAGAAGATGACATTGAAAAAACAATGACGTTATCAGACGTCATGAAAATGTACGACGACAGCGCCGGGTGATCATATAATGTCGTTTTTATTTTATAATAATTTGGCAAATAATGAACGTATCAGGCTAAAATTTTCAACATTTTTCTATTTCGTGTTGTTTTATGTTCTTAAATTTTGAATGCACAGACTACATAGTAATAATTTTATAGCCTCAGTCCACGAACTTTTTGATAACCCCTCGTATATTTCCCGAGGAGGCAAAATTTTAACATAAATTAGAAAAGATGAACCCTTGTTTTCTGTTTTCACACTCTTGTCAATTTAATGTCGTTTAGATTTAAATACAAGTCATGTTTTCCCAAGTCATTCACCCTCAATTCCATGAACTAATGTAGAAACAACAAGGACTATGATAAACTAGACAGTGTTTATTTCTACGAATTGATTGCAAGTATTTGTATTAATAATCATTGAGAAATTTAATTGAAATGAAGATAAAGTATATCAATTAAATGTTCAAGGATTGAGGACCATAGAATTCTATTTTTATTGTGTAAAAGACATTAATAATGTAGGTCTGACAAGAAGAAATCTGTTTTCCGATTTTGCTTCCGGTTTTATAATGGTATTTCTGAAAAACCTTTAAATAAAAATTATAACGAATAAAGACATGTTTTAATGCAATGTCCATTTATCAAATTAATGTGTATTGACATTTTATGAGGAAATGATTTTTTTTAAATAAAGATAAATATAGTACACCTGTACCAAGTCACCTCATTCGGATAGGCCATTTAATTTGATTAATTAGCTGATTCTTGATTTGTGAAAGTTTCTGATGAATGGAAAAAATTATCAGTAATGTTGGAATAAAACTTGTTTTCTGCATCGATTAGACTTAAATTGTATTTTAGTAGTGAAACCATTTCTAAATTTTGAATCAAAACCTAATCAAATACTCTGCCATACATAGCCGCAGATCTGTAGCTCTCCGAAAAAAATTCTAATATTGATAGACCGGAGAGCTACAGTGCCACCCATTGAAAAAACTGTATATTTATTGCGCACAAAAAAGTGCGCTGTTTATCGATTTATTTCTCCATGTTTTTAAAACTATAATCTCAAAATATTACTAACAATGTATTTCTAACATAATCTTTCACGGTTTCCATAACAAAACATACCTTATAGTTGTTGTTTATAGCCCTCCTGGCCCTGAAATCAAAACATCGAAAATTTCGTCTGCTTATACTGCCATTTTGGTTTGTAAGATAATCCGGCCCAACGGGCTTCGTACAGATGTCATCTACGAAAGTACTTGATAGAAGAGTACGGAATTTTTCTAAATGTAATTTTTTTGCAACTGAGGTAAGAATTTAGAAGAATTAATCCATACATAAGCGCAACTTTTTGTGCGCAATAAATATACAATTTTTTCAATGGGTGGCACTGTAGCTCTCCGGTCTATTAATATATTTTCCAGAGAGCTACAGTCCTGCAGCTATGCCATACACTGCATGGAATACAACTTTGTTAAATTTAAAACAAGCCCACTTTCATGATTTATCGAACTTTTAGCTAGCATTGCAGCCATCAATGAAAAGATCCTCTCAATGAAATAATTCAAAAAAAACTGTACGGATGTTTTTTATTCAAACACTTTCAGTGAGTTTCTTTTAATGATATACACACATCTAACTTGTGCTAAACTAATTTTCTAAATGTAAAATATATACAAAAACAGTGAGGGTAGAATTATATGGAACAAGAGAAAATACCCTCAAAAGCTAAAATAAAAAATAAAAGAAATGCATGAATGATCAAAACGATATTTGAGCAACTATAACATGCTTCGTTTTTATTAAACCCTGTTCTACCAACTCACTTTAATTATGACAGAATGTATGAATAAAACAACTGTACAAATCGATCATAATCTTAAATGAAAGCATACAAAAGAATAGAATGGTTTCATGGTTACACAGTATAAAACACTGCACTACGGAATTGAAATTTACACTTCAATGGATGAAATTTACACTTCACTAAAATCAAACATATTTTTCCTGTTATTGTTCTCATTTTTCGCTGACTCGCACCGAAGAGACAAATTTACAGGAAGTGACGAACTGGATATTTTTCGTTTCGTAGAGAAGTTTTGGATGTCTTCATAACAAGAGCGTCTGCGTAGAGATTCACTAGAGATTGACAGTCCTTGTTTCAGATCAGGTTGTAACTGTACGTCATAATTATAGACAGGTACTGACAACGATCGTATTATAGTCTTCGGCTTCTGTACATTCTGAATGGACAATTTGGGCTTCTGGGAAAATAATGTATACTTTTAGATAACAAAAATATACAACGTAAGGCAATCACTTTTTAAAAGAGAAACTTTCAAAAAATATTAATGTTAATAATTTTCACATCAAATATGCTTATCTGTTTCATAAATAAACAAAACAAACACAGCAACTCACTTTGAAATTAGTGGAACAAAAATCAAACAATCAAGAAATGACGAAAAAAAAATTCTATGTATGTTTCAGGTCACATTAAATTAAAAAAAAAATTCTGATCACGTGTTTGACACGGAGACAGTCGTTTTTCTATTATAGATGCATAAAACCTTGAAACATGAAAGAGTTATTTTGTTTGAGGCAAATAAGCTAATGGCTAAAAATATTTGAAATGCACTTCAAATATATCAATTACATGAATAATTGATACTTTAAAACAAAATATATATTTGGTTCTCTTAATTAACTAATAAATTACTAGCATTTTCCCCTTAAATTGCGACTTTTTTTCGTAATCAAAGAGTTCAACTTAATCCCTCTCAACGAATATTACTGTGACAAACACACTAGAATATTAAAGCTTTATTCATCATGAGATGAAATCGACAATGACAAAAGCCCGTACCTTTTCTTTTTTGATGTTAGAGCCCGGCAGAAGTTCATCTAACCATTTTAATTCATGTTGGGTAAAGATGAAGTCAAGGGCCTTTCTTTGAAAACATATACCCAGGACCTGATTTAAAAAATTCAATTCAACAAGATCCGATATAAAGTGTATAATAAAATATAGATCAGCATATCAACCATCTTTTTTCTCCAGTGGAGATCTTCCAACCTTTCAATGAAAGACTGATGTCTTCTACTCAAAAGGCAACAAAAATTCAAATACAAGACAAAATCTAATATATAAATCTACCATAATTGGAAACACGATGCTGATAGCCTTGATGCTCTTCACGGCCCACAAGGCGGCTAAACAAACGACCTGAATCCCCGTGTACAGGTGGACCTTGGTCAAGGGGACGTGGCGGAGAAACTTATAGTCCGGTTGGTATTTCTGGGGCATGAATATAATCAAAATTCGCTGGACCATCTGTAAATGAAATGAATTTAAAGAGTGGATTTACAAAAATTCAGTTAAAAATTCATTAAAATCAAATGTGGCTGGACTGAAAGACGTGTTTTAAGTTACCTGCATTCCGCTCAGAGCCGATGCGCCCATGTAAAAGAAAACGCCATACAAAACAGGCATTGGAATGTGCTGCAATAGGATTACATATGATTAAATTAATAATTTTTTTTATACTTCTTGGTTTACTTACTATTTAATAAATTAATATGAGTACATGTATGTGTGTTGCTGCAATACATAAAGGATGCTATTACAGGTATCAAATCCTATATTTTCCTTCTATTAGTGTCTATTTTACAATGTCTATACTGTTTGTCAATTTAAGTATTAATTTGATTTCTGTATGAGATAAAGTTAACTATTTCATAAATAACTGAGTTAAGTTGTAAAGAAAAGCAAACGTGACATGCTACTGTTATTCTAATTACACGAATCGCTCCATTAAAAACCTAGAAAGTACGTGTACCACTCAAATGTATCGACTGTTCTACAAACCTATTTCACAAATACATAATAAATATTATAATATGAATGATATATAAAAACATGTAGATTTAACACTGTCTAAAAACTTGCACAGTTTTAGGACGCATCTCAAGAGAATCCAGAGCATTAACCGTATGAGAAAAAAAATTTAAATACACAGCAGTACTTTAACTTGTTTTCCAATTTAATTACCGGTACATCAATTCATTTATTTTTATGACCGGATTATCTGTAAAAATTGGCAATTAATAAAAAAGGAGAAAAATTCCAAAAAATTGGATGTCATGGCCTTTGAAAACAATAAATAAGAGCTTACCTTTAATACTGATGTGATGAGAACAGCCAGCCCGCTGAAAAGGCCCACAAGTAAGGCGGTGACTCGTTGTTCCCTGTACAAAAAGAAAAGAAACGTAACCCTTACAGAAAAACAGAAAACTATTAAAGTATTTCCTTCACTCGATCAAAATGCATCTCCCATGTGAGGGGCTGTTCTACTCAACTTTCATTAAAAAGAGTTCAACAAAATACCGGCATTTAAACCGGCCAACGCAATTTTTGAAAAATCAATGTCGTGCTTATGTGTATAAAAGCTTGAGTGGTACGGGGATATCCCGTGCTTAAGTTTTGAGAACTGCTCCAAGAGTGAAAAATTTATAAACAAACTAAAAAATTAAACTACTGAACACTTGCATATATTCACAAACTCTAGAGGAGAGTTTGGGGGAGAAACGAACCTGACTCCCAGGAAAGTTGGTTTCTCGCCCGGGGCGGTACACTCAGATTCCTTCCGTAAACTCATCACGTGAGCAATGGCGGTAACTGTTGCCGCCACAAACCATGGCAACCCCAAGAAGGACAGCAGCATAATCAGAAAAGCCACAACCAGTAAATCCAAGTGGTAACCTCCACCTTTCTATGAAGGTAAAAAGAAATATCAGTATATTTGGAAGGACGTGGTTAACTGTCTGTAACAAAGAAGTTCTCCAAATCTATGCTTGGAATAATCCTACTACTCTACATTAGTATATTTTAACCGTCTCTAACAGTAGACAGTCATAATTCAATCTCACGGGCCTCAAGATATCATTGACGGATAAATTAGTAGAGGATATCTATATATTGTATGATTTGATATTGGCTTTATCCAACGAGTTGAAATGGTGTATATATTCGTGAGGCTTGCCGAGCAACTACTTATCCTAAAAGACCCGTGACTTTCATTTCAAATGCCTGGAGCTTGACGTTGAAACAGTCAAGACCTATTTCATACTTCTGAAGTTTGACGAGACTCGACAACACGAACAATTATAGGCTACCGCGAAAGGTATGGAAATCTGTTTGATACATTATAATACGAGTTCTAATTTTCTAGAAGTACCATTTCCTTCTGGTTTTAATTTTACCTTCAGTTTGTTTTCTTTTCTGTTTACAATGACTGATGTAATCTGCTGATCCAAGAAAATAAGAATTGTCGCGAGAGCTGCTGGTATGGAGGATGCCAGGATAAGCCACCACGGGTTCTTATCACTAATTGGATTGATGATCCAACCTCGGTCAGGTCTGGTTGGCTAAGGAAAAAACGATACGATAAGTATTCCCGACTTAAATGGAAAAAAAATGCCAAATTGAAATTGAATGTCTGGGAACTACAAGCTGTATTTTTTAAATATTCAACCTTGAATTCTGATGGCACGGTAAGTTTTGGAGTGGGAATCCCAAGCAAGATGTCCACAAGAAGCATGACAATGATGGCAATAAGTACACCGAAATCTCCTACAGTATTTCTGACCTAAGAAGAAATGAAAATCATCAAGTTTGATATTGTTCATTTTTAAAACCAAAAAGGTGATAAGTTATTACTATTTTCTTAAAGGAAATTGACTCACAAAGTTAGGAAAGAATCCAGAGTTTCGGAATATCTTCACACCATAAGCTATAGTGAATGTTCCAAGGAAGAGAAGGACACTGAAGAAGAAGACGTCGGGTACGAAATCTCCTGGATGACAATCTTTCCCTCCAAGAAATCCTCCATTCTCCGTGCAATTGTTAAGCGGCCATGACGTAATGACTGCACCAGACGAGGTTGTGCTTTCACTGCTTGGCGTTGTTTGTATGGATCTCACATGGCGTGAAGCGACGTGATCTTGTTCAAATTGCGTATTATTGAGGAAAATGCAAAAGCAGTCTCGTAGTTGTTTGCTTTCTGCATGTAATTCAACTGGAGCTAAATGTTCTATTTCGATCAGTTTCTTAAATGCTTCAAAGATGAAAATAAGGGCAATCAAGCAGGCAAAAGACTCTTCTGTGAACCTCGTAATGTATCGAACGAGTGAACTCAGGTCAAAGGCCACGATAATAGTTAGGAGCAATGCTGTCCAAAGTCCGACCCAAATCCTCAGCGATAGGAAATCCCATTTTTGTTCTCTATAAAAAAAATACTCAATTTACGTTGCTGATTTTCTCATGGTAGGTTTTCTTATAATATTTCATATTATTACATGTAATATAGTTATATATTTCAGGAAATTGTATTGGTTTTGCAGGAAATAGTCATATTATTATGTACAATATTCACACAAGCTTAAGTACTACTTATTCTCCTCGCTCTCTTTTGAATTCTACAAAGCATAAAAATGGTTAAATTAGTGACATACCTGCAAAAATTAAATAAAATTGATTCCAAGACAAGCATTGGTCCAGTACTTCCCAGGATGTTCATTGGCTGACCGGAGAATAAAGCAAAGATAATCCCCGTCACAGCCGCTGCCAAAATACACTCCATCGTGCCCTGAAAGACAGACCAGTGGGAAGGTCAACTAACACAAGGTAAATGTTGTCTCTCTCGTTTCATTAAATTCAAAAAAGTAAAGATTGCATGTGATTTTTCACAGATTCCTTTCCAAGAAATTATATGGATCGCATCTAATTGGATGAAAACAGAAAAAAAGCAAGCTTCATTGTAGAAGTATGACTTTAAAATTTATTTGTTTATTTTATTTTTTTGTTTTTTGGGGGTTTTTTGTTTGTATTTTTTTAATGAAGTGTGTGAAATAAAAAAAAATTTCTTCAAGAGTTAACGCGTTTCATAATTATGCTTATCAGAGTAAAAAGTAACAATCAATGTGTTCATGAATATGAATTAATTCAAGAACAAATAAATTTAAACAAGGTTTCGTGTACATCTGTGCTTTATATGGCTTTAATTTAGATTTTATTTTACTATTTTGTTAGAATGTTACAATATTATTAGTTCTGTATTAATGAGCATTACTGTGTGATTACTCCGTTCTCGATGATCATGCTCTGGTATTTTAGTTATTTCGCAAAATAAGGTCGGTGTTATATATTGTCATTTCGTACACTAACCATATGCTGTTCTGTTGCTACTCCAAGAAGACCTCCAAATGTCACATTAGGTGTTAATGTCGCTAAAAACAGGTACACGAATGATGCAAAACACTGTACATGGATTGCGTCGGTGAAGTCGCTTCTGTACCATTTCCATTTCCGTTTTACGTCTTGTATCAATCCTCCAAACAATCTACAACGACATCCTGATATGTATATTTCAGGTGGAAATTAATTAGCAGAGACCCGCCATTGCGTGCACGATCAGGCAATAAAATCACAACGGACATCGGTAATGTTTGTTTAACACTTTTAAAGCATGTTGTAAGATCATGCTCTCTTTGGTATTTCAAACAAGAAAAGGCACATCTTGAACGGATTAATTTACACGATTTTCTAGTTTAGCCTTGCTTTCATTTTCTTTTGATGTTTTATCATTGATTTCTTGTAGCATGTCTTTTTCATGTTGATTTTTTTAATTTCATAAACATTATTGGTTTCCATTTATAGAAGTACAGATCGAAAATGGACGAGGGACATGATTTTATGACGCCTTTTCATCTTTACCAATCCGATAAAATTTTAACATTACATCATACATATTCCTAGAATGTTGTAAAACATATTTAACCAATGGTCAAAACCAGTTTATTGCCTTTCACAGAACCACTAACAATTTACCGATATCAACATGATTAAGTACATGTTTACAGTACGTTTCAAATCTTTTTGGTTCATTAGAATGATAAGTCAAACAAACTATACTTTCAATTGCTTCTGTGGTTGGAAAACTTTCGGTTAATAAACATAGTTAGAAAAATCCAGTATACATGTTAACAGCTACGACTTTTTCAGTCACAGACTAGATGATCATTTATAACAGAGGGCAATGAATGATGTTTTCTTATCTCAGATTTGATAGTAAACTCTAAAAAGACTTCATCTCCTTTTTCTCACCTGTTGAAAAGTTTTCAAAACTTAAAATTTTAAACAGTGTTTTGAAACAGCAAACAAATGATGAGGCCTGTTCAAAGCTTTCTGACATTTACCTGCATATGGAGATGCCCTAAAGGTTTATTTTTAATACGAGTTATTTAATGATTGAATTACTTACCTTCCTGTCCGTTCCAGGCTGGGGTCGTGGTGTGGGTCATCGTCATCATCTTCCTCCGTGCTTCTGTTCACCTTTTCCGCCACCTTTGCATTTGCCCGAGAGTCCTATTTAAAAATCAACAATAAATATTTTTTTTCTCCTTATTGCAAGCTCTTTTTCAAATATCCGTTTGATTTTCTTTTCAGTACAGAAATTAGAACGTATTAAAAAGAGATAGGAATGATAAGAGAAAAATATTATTACGAACTTTTGGAGGCAATACTTTCGGTGGTTCGATTCTATTATTTTTGTCCCAACATCCTGGAGGCAGTACAGTCACATGACTGGTAAAATCCAAAACGGCTGACAAAATCTCCACCTTGTTCGTGGATCTGTATGCTGCTTCCCGGAAAATCTATGATTAAAATTAGAAAGAAACAAAAAAAATGTCATTCATGAAACCACTTGTACATATATTCCATATTTATAATTTAGTGGGCATATTATCTGGAATAGTTAATACCTCGTCTGTCATGAGAGTTCCAATACATCGCCCTATTTCTACTCCCACTTCAATATCGTCAAGGGGTACTAAGAGTATAAACAAGAAGCGGGTGGGCAAAGAGACCTCTGTTATTTTGCCGACATCTTTTGCTTCACTCAGCCTTACGAATGCACAGAGTCTTCTGTTTTTGAGCTCCTCTACTTCTCCAACCATAATATTGAGAACTTCCGCTCCCTCGGGAATCTTTCGTTTGAATTTGTCATTAAACTGAAGAAAATTGATGGGTTATTAGTATCAGACAAGTAGTTTTACTTGATAACTCAAAACAATGAAACAAACTATTAGATTACTATGGAACATTGAGTTACCTCAGAACCAAAAGAGAGAAGCTCACTGGATGCATCTTCATTTGAATGGGACGATTCGTAGCCTTCTACAATTTGTAAACATGAAAGAATTGACTTTTTTTCTTCGAATGCAATGGAATATAACTACCGAGATAGATCTGGAAGAATTAATTCTAATTTTAAGAAAGAAAATTATCGCACATACGAAATATTGATAATTTCGGAGATAATACCGTTGTGATAAGCGTGTAGGTTTGGCGCTGATACACTTTCAGACATCTCTTTGACGGGACTCAGTTTTGGTTTGGATTCGTTCAGCTTTGCTTTGCTCGCATGGCGCTTTATATATTTGCCTCTAACGTGTTGGTGTTTATGTTTCTTCAGTAAGAGGGCCCTCAAATGGTTCCACAGCAGGTTACTGACAGACCCTTCGTTCTTCCACTCTTCCAAGACTTTATCTGCCAACAGTAAACAGGTATTTATACCAAAAATTAAAAGAACACTTGAAAAGGTCTGAACAATTTTCAGCATTAAAGGACTTTCCACGAAATAAAGAATGATTACGTATGACGACTTTAAACAAAAAGAGAACGTTAAGAGACCCTTTGTGCAACCTCTCGACCAATGCAGAAAGAAAGTATCGAAATGTTTTCTCTGATCGAGTATCTATCAAGTGAAGATAATAAAGCGCTTTAACTGCTCTGCTAGAAAAAATGGCAAACTATGTTGCTCTAACAGCAAACACTGAAAGATCCTTTTGAAAATTATGTTAATAATGCTTTCTACAGCAGTTTCCTATAGCTTGCTTTCATACCAAACACGATCATCGAAAGATCTACAGAGATTATTGAGACAAACAGGTACGAGAAAGAGATCTCTCTCCACTGAGATTTCATTAGTCGTTCTAAAAATTTTTGTTAATCTTGAAATACCCCTGAGACTTTAAAGGAATATCCAAGAGATCGCTGAGTGATCTTGGCTATCATTTATAGACTGTTGTGGATAGAACCAAATCTTTGAAGAGATTATATAGATCTGTGAAAGATCCTTATAGATCACGACGATGACTTACGATCTAGACAATTTTGCAATACGAAACAATTTCTATACAGTAAAAAATTTGAAAAGGGTTTATATTTACAAAGATATGGAATCGCTCTTGGGTATTCCAGCATCACTGCATTTCGGGAAAAGCTTTTAATTATGTGCATCAAATTGATAAGCATACATATGTCACTGCTGGATTGACCATTAATCCTTACCCACGATGTCGTACATCGATAGAGCCTCCATGTCCAGGATACAAGTGTTGGAGGCCAGTAGTGTGTGCAGCTCTGTCAAGGACTGCATGTACATGGAGGAAACGTGGGGCTTGGACCATCGCTTCCCCTTTTCTTCCAGTACCTCCTCGAATTTCACCCATCTGCAAAGGTTTACTTTTGTTCAATTACTTTAGAATTTTTGGAGAAATTTGTGTTAGCTTTAGAATATTCTTTTCTAAAATAATTCCTTTAAGAGCTGGTTTTTTCTCTTAACATAAGGTCACACATAAGTGGGACATAAAGTGTTATAAGAATCTAATTAAATACCAAAGTATACTCGTAATAACCTTTCTGTAAAAAATATTTTTAGTAAGTCAGGAACGGGAAACTTCCATGTTTTAGCGACAATTTAATAAAATGCAAACATAGATGTTCAACCGAAAAAATACAAACATATAAATTGCAAACTTTTAATTGCCTAAAGGGATTTTACCTCTTTATTTTCAATTTGTTTTCTTTAAAAAATAATGAAAAATGCTGACTGATTATATATTGCAGTATTTTGGGGGGAAAAGTGCAAAAAGTTGAGATTTGTCAAGAAAATGAATTGTTTCAAGGCGAGGTGAATGAGTGATAGGAATCTGTTCTTCGTGTTTGATGAGCTTGAGGGACCTTGACCAGGGTTACGGTCACTGGTATTTAGCATCAGAGGTGGGAAAGGAGTCCTCTAAAGCAGAAGGGGTACACCTTTAACTCTTTTTTTTTTAAAGAATCAATACACCTTTTTCAAAATCATTTGCACCAATACGGTATGGAAGCGTGCACCTTCTATTGAATCTTTTGAAATTCTAAAAAAAAGTCTTGGCGAATTGGATGGAAAACTTCCGGAATCTGGTTTATTTCTAATGTCCACACCTTAAATGTCCGGGTCAGTTGTTATTTATCTTGTCATTGCACGTAATTTAGCGTAATATTTTACAGAGCGAAATGTCTCATGAAATAGATGGGTGACATTTTGACTACACATTACCTTCTTTCAGTTATATGCGAGTATCCTTTCACATTAGAAAATAAGGTAAAGTTCAGAAATTTCAAACAAAAAAACATGTTAATAAAAAATTTAGGCATTGATTTATTGAAATTTTAACAAAAACAAGCATTCGATTTGATGATCGTTCAAATAACTCTCTTGAATTTTTAACCAAAAAATGTCCAATATCGAAAGCGTTCAAAACAGAATTTTCCTAAGAAAATGTTTCTTTCTGATTTTTTTTTTATCTTTAATACATGAATACACGTGAATGTAAAAGATACTAGTATTTAAGTCCTCAATCTGAAACTATGGCGCTTAACATTATAATAACGAGTTTAACTGGAGATTTTTAAGTTTGATCTAATGGCATATCATTTATTTTTGGAATCGGAAGAAATTTTTGATTTCTTCGATATGTATTTACATAGATGAAAACCTTTCAAGTTCTCTAACTTATGCAAAAATATACCTTCATTACCTGCATACGGAGTTTATATCTCTCAGTTGATTCGATACGCAAGAGCATGCTCGACGTATGTACAATTTCTAAAACGGGTTAAATTATTGACAAACAAGTTGCTGAAACAAGAATATCAGCAATCTGGTTTAAAGTCATCATTTCGTAAGTTCTTTGGTGGATACAATGACCTTGACAGGATTATTTCCCGATCATGACCAGGAGCACACGGCAGGTGTGACCGGTCGGCATGGGATGCTTAATCCGCCATGGCACCTGATCCCACCTCTGATGTTTAGGAGGTCCGTGTTTGCTCTGCTCCAATTTTGTATTGTTTAATGAACTTTTGAGCTTGAATACTGTTTGTTATTTCCATATATTTCATATTATTATAACAATTAATTTTTGGCATGTACACTGAAAATGAGTGAGTTACGCACTATCAGTGACTAATACTAGTATTTGTACAAATGAACTCATGGTCACAAATATACTCATACCACGTGAACACAGGAGCCACAACTGATGATGAATTTAACTTAATTATTGTCGTTTGATTCAGGTAGGGTCATCGGATATGACTAACAGAAGAGAACTGAGGATTGAATAAAAGGATCATTGCACACCTTGATGTGCAATTAGGAATAATGACGCATATGATAATTAAGATTCATTTAAATGTGTGAAATCCCCAAGTTTTATGAAATGTTAAAGGCAGGGAAATCTAAATATTCAATCTGCATTTACTAATTCAAAGTGTTCAATATTTGATCATTCACAGTTGAAGAGTTAACGAAGGACACACCAATCGCCCACAATTCTCCATTATTTGGTATTTTTTTGTTTAAAAAATGAACATTTTAATATATTGACACTAAAACCTAGAAAAAGAGTTTTATCGAGATATTTTTAAATGGCATGGATAAAATTGTCCTTAGTACGTGTGCATTTTTAAGGGAATATTTAGGAGCAAAAAAGATATAATATTGTGATTGAAGACAGATCTTTTTAACTGTGTGACGAAGCAGACGACAGCCAGTTGCTGACAATTAATCAACAAATTGCAGGCATGTGTGCAATGCATTTCGAAGCCAGCGACATGGCAATTGACTGGTAATCAATTAACGGAGTCTGTACATGTTAAATGAAGACAAAAATGTAGAAAACTTTTAAAAGACAGTGTTACTGAAAAATTTTAAAACTTAGTTAAAGGCCTCGCCCTGAAATATTTTTATCCCTAACTTAGGAAAATATTCGGATATGTAATTCTTAAAATCATATATATTTAATTTAAATAACTTATAAACTAACTGCTAAAGAAAGAGCATGGGATCTCAGAAAAAGCTGAGTGGTTGAGGTATAAATATTTATTGATATTTTTAGAAATGCTTTCCCTACCGATGAAGTTCTTTCCAGACGTAGTCATCATTATACTGCCGTAGTATGTCCATTTGACAGAATATATCCCTCGGTTCGTGGCTATCCATGACAATCACTTCATATCCACCCGGCGAAGAATTATCACTGCAAGAGTTCGAGTCGTTTTCTTGTTGTTCGTCCATTTTGTTTGTTCACCTTTAATTCTACTGACAAAAATGTAAAATTGTTCTCTACATGAACTGTATTGATGTATCATTTTTTTTTTAAAATAAACTCTCAATTTTCGAAAATAGGTCTAATCACAAATGAACACATGGTCAAAAAGAAATGTTTGAGAATGAATTGCTGTAAAACCAAAGAAAAAAAAAGAAAAGGAAAGGAAAAAACAGAAGTATTGAAGACATTATAAATGATATTTTAATTACGTAATAAATTTTACTCTGTTTCAGGAAATTTAATACCAAAAAAAAAAAAATTACCTCAATAAAATTTAAGTAATAGATTTAAATGCAACAATGTGTGGTTAATTTCAAACTTCCGATGTAAGCACTTTCTGAATGAAACGAACATCCATTTGTTCATGTATAAATGTGAAATACAAGTCCACTTTGTGACGCAGTGTTAGGTTAATGATCAACTCAGGTGTTTCATTTTGTTTATATACCAGGTAGGAGAAAGAAAACGGTCCACACAAACTTCAAAACTGAGGATCTTTGAACATATTTGTAAAACCATCAATCACAGTTCAGCCAATTGTTGACGACCTCAAAAAGATTTAGAAATGTCGTTACAGGAGGTTCTATAGGTACTTGTGTTTTTCGTGTTTGTTTTCTGTTTTCCGTATTGACACCTATCGTCATGGTTTTTTTCTTACTTTTTCGTTATATAAACATGTAAATCATCAACATGTTTTGTCGGAAATGGTCAGTGAATAGGAGAGGAGACGGGGGCGTACTCTACATACAGTTTTCCACCGTTTATTCCTTTATTACTAAACAGAAGCTTTTACATAACATCTTATTTTTCCTTTTCCTGCAAAAATCCAGATTTATTGATACATCAATCTTCATGAAAAAAATACTGATTTCGCCCAAATTTTCCGAAGATGCTTGTCAAAATCGAGTTATTTCTCAATAACATGATGATTTATTTTAATTATTTATAACTTCTTTTTTTTTTCATTTCATGTAAGCTTTTGCTGCAAAAAATTAACTTTCAACAGTCGATTTCTGATAAATACTAATTTGAAAAAGATCTCCATGTCAGTGTACTTGAAAGAAAGCAAAGTATTTTTAGAACTACTTATTTTTAGAATGGTACCATGCTAAATGCATGTATATGTATATAGAATAATAGATATAAACTTGAGGTTGTTGGGCATTTCCTGTCTGATCAACTCTTTCTTGAACCAAAAAATTAAACCTTTTCAGGCCAAAATAAAGATAATAAACGTGCTTTTCATTGTAATTGTAATCCCCGAGTTTTTGAAATGTCAGCATATGCAGTGGGGATTTTTGTCCCTTCACCTGGTGAATTATTATTAATAATTAATTTAAAGACATGCTTCACGGCCGGTCATAATCGTGTAACAAATGTGTTTTTCAATGTTTGTGACGAACACATGGTTTCATGAAACAGATTCTCATGAATCCCACTCAACCTAACCTTGTAACCTCCTAGCCTTTGATTAATGAATGCACTAATACGTGTATTATTTAGACGGATTTCTGACGTCATTACATTGGGATATTGATGTGTGACATAGATTTCGAAAAATTTGCAGGATTGTCTTCGCATCCCACCCTTTTTTTATTAATATATATATTCCTACTATTATTTATATTACATTATTATATTATATTATATTATATTATATTATATTATATTATATTATATTATATTATACCATATCATATTATATTATATTATATCATATTATGTTATATCATATTATATTATGTTATATCATATTATATTATTATATACATGTCTATATAATAAATATATTTAATTGCATCTTATGAACACATTTTTCAGGTAATTCCTTTTTCTTTGAGACAAACATTTCCAGACTGCCGCCCTTTTAGACGGAAGAACACAAACAATCTTTTTGTGGTGATAGCAGTGATTAACACCATTGTCATTATTTGAAGTTTATTTCCAATTCACACAGGAACCAATGTTGTAGCACTTTTTTCTGTGTAAAAGTCCCTAAGACGTTGATGGAATGACAATAGAAATATACTTTATACTTTCCTTTTTTACAGCTCAATGAAGGGTTCTTGTTGGAAGTTTCAATTATTTAAGGCTGCGCACAAGCTTAGAGAGAAAATTGCAAGACAAAAAGACCTCACACTTAATTTTAGAAATTTATATCAAACTTTTACCCACAAACAGGTCATTGAAGACTATCTCTTTCTAACAATGGTACATGTACGAGTACATGTATTTCCATTCTTATGTCGATACGATATATCCCGGTGAATTTGAAATAAAAAATACCACAGAGTCTAACGCATCTGATTACTATTAAGATATTTTACTTGAAAGGGATATTAATGGCAATCTAACAACCAAGCTTTATGACTTGAAGACTTTAACTTTTCAATCGTCAACTTTCCTTACAGCAATATACCTTCATCACCTGCATACAGGGTTTATATCTCTCAGTTGATTCGACACGCAAGAGCATGTCCTACGTAACGGGGCTTGTTAACAAACAAGTTGCTGAAACAAGAACATCAGCAGTCTCATTTAAAGGCATCATTTCATAAGGTCTATGGTCGATACAATGACCTTGTCAGCAATTACAATTTATAAAGTCAAATGCTGACCGACGTTCCTCATGCTGATTGCTAGGCCATTATATACACACCGATTTATCAACGGATTTTGTCGATATTTCCTGATCATGACAAGGAGCACACGGCGGGTGTGACCGTTCAGCAGGGAATGCTCACTCCTCCATGGCACCTGATCCCACCTCTGATGTTTTGGAAGTCTGCGTTTGCTCTGCTCCTATTTTGTTTGTGTAATGGACTTTTGAGCTTGAAAATTGTTCGTTATCTCCATATATTTCATTCTTTTCAAGATTTGTATTTGTATCAATTAGCTACTTTTCGCCAATTAAAACTTAGAACATCACATTTATAATTTATTTACTGTAGGATTCCTTTCTCACATATATAAGGGTAAAACTATGGTGAACTCGTAAGTTAATTTGCTATCAAAAACCATTAATTTCAAACGGCACATTTTCTCAACTTTTCAAAGCTACACCTAGAGCGACATGGTATTGTAAATTAATGGTCAGTTTAAAAAGTTTTAAGTAAATCAGCAGTAGTTTTATAATATAGATATTTAAAAAAAACATTTAAGTTGACGAGAAAATTATAAATGTTTAAAATCTTAAATTTAAATAAATTATTATTACCTATACCCTTCAAAAATCACCTCAATCAAATATATAGCTTTATAATCAGACAATGTCATCTTTACATGTAAAAAAAATGTTTGACCTCCGACGGACCGACTAAATATGACCCGACTCGAAACGTTTTCAATCTCCAGGAAACGAGCTTTTTTTATTACTGGATTTTCTCATCCTGTCAATATGTATGTTTAAATTAATATCTAGGGAAAAAATTCCCCGCCTCCCTACCGATCTTTTTTTTTTTTACCCGAGTCGAGAGAGGGCAAAGATACATTATGTTACAACTAGCATAGATGTATCTTGTTATTTTGAGGTATACTTCGTTATGAAGACTTAAAAAACAAAATATGTTATTCCAAAATTGGATTGACTGATTGTTTGTTATTATACGTTCCATTTGATAATTTTTAACTTACGAATATAGAGACATATACATGTACCGGTAAAGGGATTCAGATTTTAACCTTAACTCGAGGCACTAAGGGTCATTGAGCAAATAGAGATCTTTATCGTACCAGCGTCTACAGTGACACAGGGCCTTGGTTTTTAAGGTCTCATCCAAAGTACCCGCAATTTCACTTCAAGGTTCCGAGTGCATGCCCAAGGAACAGTTGCTTAACATTTTTTATCGACTTAGGTCAGTCGCGGCCCAGATGCGAACTCACGACTTTCCGAACATAACTTCAGACCTAGGTAGGCACCCTTGCTCATTATTAATATGCACTATGTTTGCCTAATATCCAGGATCATTAGAGAAGATTACTAAATTGATGCATTCTGACAATGTATATTTAACAGAGACCAACCCTAGCATCTGAACCTTCTACCCTGTGACCATGGATTTCACAATTTTGGAAGGTGGATCAATGATTATTACAATCTTTTTGGAAGGTGGATCAATGATTATTACAATCTTTTTGGAAGGTGGATCAATGATTATTACAATCTTGCCAACAGCTTGAATGTTTTATGTCCGGAAGTAAAGAAAGAGATTCTATCTTAAGTCCAACCCTAAGGCCTCAGAGGAAAGGAGGCAATGACTATAAAAATTATAATTTTTGTTCATTTACGCAATGTGCTGAAATTGGTTTAAATTGGTTGAGCTGTTCCCGCAGAGTTGAAAATGTTCAAATGTTAACGCACGACGGACAGCGGACGAATACAGATAGCAATAGATCGCCTGAGTTACTGAGGGAACTCATAAAAGTAAACTTCGTGTGCTGCATAAATTAATGATATTTTCTAAATATATTAACTATGACAGAATTTCTTTGTATGTGTTCTAGAGTTCAAGGTAGGAATAATTTAAAAAGTACCTTTTAATCAATTAACTTATCAGAGTGCTCTTAAAAGTGTTGTGTTTGAAGTTACACAATTTTTATTCACCTAAATTTTCCCAATCTTAAAAACAGCAGACGAAGACAGATGGCGATAATAAACCATTGTGCACCTTGACAATACGGAACTGATTTTGGGAGAGGAATTAATTTAGCTAAAATCATCCATCTTGATGTTTACTGATGGTGTACCGCCATTAAAGGTCAAACACAGGTCATTCTTCTTTATGCTTCTTGGAATTCAACCAAGTAAAATTTAACATTAAAGAATGTGAACACAATTTAAAATATTTTAAATCTTGTTTTTTTAGTTTTTATGTTCGCTAAATTCGGTTGTGTGTCTATCAAAAGGATGTTTTCTTTTCTTTTTTTTTTAAGTGCAAGTAAAGTACTGTTCATACTTATAGAAGCAAGGTCATTTTTGACCAATCTTCAAAAAGTATCAATTATAGAATTTTTAAAACCAATTTTGATTGAAGTTTTAAAATATTTAAAATTCTATTCTTTCTCTAGCTTAATTTTGTTTGCACACTTTCACATAAAATTTTACACATGCATGAAACATATGGAGATAACGACCAGTATTCAAGTTCAAAAGTCCATAAAACAAAACAAAATAGGAGCAGAGCAAACACGGACCTCCGAAACATCAGAGGTGGGATCAGGTGCCATGGAAGAGTGAGCATCCCCTGCAAACCGGTCACACCCGCCGTGTGCTCCTTGTCATGTTCGGGAAATATCTAAAAAATCCGTCTTCAAATTCAGTGCATAAAAAATGGACAAACAAAAAGTATGAAAAACGTCAGTTGATGTGGCATTTGACGCAATGATAAATCTATTTGCTGACAAGGTCATAGTATCGACCATAGAACTTACGAAATGATTACTTTAAACGAGATTGTTGATATTCTTGTTTCATCAACTTGTTGTCAATAATTTACCTCGTTTTAGAAATTGTTCATACGTAGAGTATGCTCTTGCATATCGAGTCAACTAAGATATATAAACTCCGTATGCCGTTGATGAAGTTGCTGCAATAATGTAGCCCTCTCCGTTTTTTTTTAACCTGGTGTTTTCTGGAGAGGGCTACAATTCCACAGCATCTCCGTAATGATGCAAATACATTTTTAAATACGGGCGACTTCAGGCAAAATAATCGTTTTTACAATCAACTTATAACTTCTAAGAAGACGAAATTTCTATTCACTGTCAACAACATAGCCCGTTAAACGCAAAAACCATGTGAAATAAATCTGCGTGTTTACCAGTCGCTCTACTCAGCAGCCATGACAGTTCACGCGTGACATATTGGAAGACTTGCACTTGAAATTTAGAATAAGTTATAACTCAATAAACCAAATGTCGGTGTTTATAAATAACTGTGATGAAAAGTATCTCTAAATATCGATAAATAAAACCATTCCATGTAGTTTTTTTTGTAAACAGTGATATTTCGGCTTAAAATAAGGGGATTCCTAGAAGATCCGCTCCTATAGATCCTAAATTCTCATTGGCTGTCCCAAAATAAAATCTGTCAAGATCAGTAAACATGACAAGTAAAGTCAAGTTGTGATGTTGACATGCACCAAAAATAATATGACTTGTTCTGAATATTTTTGGATCGATTTATGTCTTGCATAACTACATTATTGGGAGTCCGGGTAAGAGATGTTAATTAAATAGCCATTTACTGACAATTTGAGTGAACCACTCCCGCATTTGCACCATTACGGAGATCCCAAGGAGTTATAGCCCTCTCAAAAAAAGGGGATGGGGGAGAGTGCTACATTATTGCAGGTAGTTATGAAGGTATATTGTTGCATAAGTAAAGGAAGTTGACGATTGAAAAGTTAAAGTCATCCTGTTTATCATAGAGCTTGGTTGTTAGATTACCATTAACGTCTTTTTAAATAAAAAATCCGAATATGAAACAGGTATGTCAGACTCTTTGGAATCTTTTTTCTCAAGCTCACCATGATATATCGTATCGACATAAGACTGGAACTTACCATTGTTAATTAAAAAAACGTTGTCGATATATCTAAATGTTGAGTTGAAAGCATTAGCAAGTGTTTTTTTTTTTCTCTTTTCACGCATAAGATTTTGCACAAATTCTGCTTCATATGAATACAAAAATAGGTCTTCAAATAACGGGGCGCAATTTGTAACTATTGATATTCCAACAGAGTGTTGGAAGACCTGGTCTCCAAAAACAACATAGAAATTGTCAATTAGAAACTCAAGCATCTTTTTAATGTAAACTTCAGAGTACTTATGTAATAAGTTTTAACCTGTTCAAATTGTTATGACTGTTTAAAAATAAACATGTAAGTAAACTCTGCACTAAATCGTTTACACTTAACGTATTCCAACTCGCCGCCTTGTCAAAAAAAAAATCGTAAAAATTTAAAAATGGTTTAAGTTGTGCCAGAGGTAGACTGTACATCGTCAACGTTAACAAAGAATTAAAATTTTTGCCTTGCCTATTTTAAAGATACTAGCATATAAGAAGGAAAATGTTTACCAACTACAATATATGACACGTGGCAGTTATATGTCATTGTGTATGTTGCAGTCAAAGCACTTTGACCCAAAGTGCTCATGTTAAACACAAGGTAATTGCTATGCCTGATTGGTTACACGTAAACAATTAACAGTTCTCGTTTAACCTTATAGACACGAGACAGTAAGCTAAAAGAAATTAATTATCTCGGTAAAAGGCGATATTCTATTAATTGGCTATATATTACATGTATGCAATGTCTGTGTTTTCAGTTGTGATAGTTACTGGTGAAAAGACTTTTTGGAATAGAGGCAAATATTAAAACTGCTTATTACATTGTACTCAGTCTTGTTTATAAGACGAAAATTTCGTCTTAAAAATGTTAAAAGTTATTTTTTATATTTCATTTTAATGTGGTAGATATAATTTGTTTAATTTTAGATCAAACTTTTAAAATCATGAAAATCAATGAAAATGTATTTTAATTTTATATTGATCAAAATTATCATTTTTATATTGATCAAAATTATCATTTTTATATTGATCAAAATTTTCATTTTTATATTGATCAAAATTTTCATTTTTTAAATTTTTCATATATATCCGTTATTCTTTTTTTTTTTATTTTGATAAAAATCTACGAGACTGCAAAACTTTGAAACAATATTATAGCAGTTACTCGTTATAATTATTTTTCCGGTTACTATATATTCATGCTTATAATGACATTTGACAATGTCATCTTAACGTCGTTTTTTGTAGGATTCTAAACACAGAATCTCCAAAATAAAGTTCATTTATCTGTTTCCCCATTGACATTTCCTTTCTTAACTTTTTTGAATCTTTAGAATTTTTCACCTTTTAAGGTAGGATTCTTCTCACACAAAACTGTATTTCTTGTATTTAAAAATTAATGAAATTTTCACAGAACAAAGAAGACAATATTTCTAAGTGATGGTATTAGTTAGATTAGTTTTGACGTTTTATATTAGAGTCAAGGTCATATAACCTTTTCCCTTGTCATTAAGAATAAAAATAAAAGCATCCAATCATGATATAGGGTCTTCTATTTCAAAAGAATAAACGTTTTTCTTTTTGCATAAAAAGATATTACCACATAGGGTCTATAAGATAATATTACCAAATTGACACAAATAGTTTAACAAAAATGGATATTGGCTAATCCGAATTTTCTCTGTTTTTCTGAAATTTTTAGGATATTTAAGTTATTTTTATATGCGCCCTATATTTAACTTTTTCTTATTTTCACATATGGTAAAGCAGTCATATAGAGATACAAAAATGATACAAAAACAAAAAGTTTTGACCGTTTACACTTTCTATGGATTTTTGGCTCAAATCTGTTTTTAAAAGCTAGCATAATTGTAGTTTGTTTGGAAATTCATATTTATTTGATATATTTTAAAACTTTAGTTCCTTATCATTAATATAGCTAACATTTGAAAAATTCTTCTGGTCTTTGATTGTGTAAAAATTATAACTAAATTCATAGTTCTATAATTATTTTGAGAGGCAGAAAAGAAGAAATTTTCATACGCCACCATTCCGCCAAAAATATAGTCCCTGCTAGTTTTCAAACACAATTGACCCTTTCTCTTTAAAGTTGTACAATTGTGATGAGGAAAGAAAAATCTGGTCTTTTAAATCTCTTTCACCTAAATATGTAACACATATAAACAAATATACATTGAATATTTCATCTACCTTTTAAAAGTAGTTCTTAGCTATTTTATAGTTATACGGAAGAAGATGCAGGACGTGTCGGAAAATATTTCCGAATTCGGGTTAACAATTCTTTTTTAATTCGTTAAAGGGAATTTAATCTAATTTGTTCTGTCAATGTTTCATTAAGTGACTGTCCTTACAAATTTGTTGAATTCTTTATAACGAATTCAAAAATTTGTTGAAAAATTCAATTCGATTTAACAAATTCAATTTTTATGACAATTAAATTCGTTTAAATAAATTCTAAAAACTTGTTAAAATACATTGAATTCGTTTACAAAATTGGCAATTTATTACATTGGGTTGTTATAAATATTTTATGGGACTTAAATGTCTGTTTGCAGAATTCTACGATATTACAAATATTCTAAATCATTTAAATTAATTCATCTGCTTAAAACTTTTCAAATTCGTATAATGAATTAAACAGATTTGTAAAATCTAATTTCATTTCGATATACCAAACTTAAAAATTTAAACGAATTAAATTCTTAAAGAGGACATATCCAAACAAATTGACAGTCGTCTGCCATCAGTTTTAACAGATTTTTTTTCTACAGATAATGGTTTAAAATGGCCTTATATTTCATTCTGATTCTGAGAAATGACAATTTTTCTCCATGTTTACAATTACGTGAATCTAAGAGTTTGACTTTCAGTCTAAATGTGTGCAACTTTATGTATACAATTAACGTACCACGTCCTGTGGTTTTTAGGTTTCCAAGCCTCTACAGCCTTATATTTTGGGCTTGTAAAATTTTCATTAAAAACGGACATCTGGTACTTTTAACCATTTATCATCTTCTCATGAGGCCAGTGACTGATCCTAATAAGTTTAATTGAGCTAATTAAAATTCCAAGACGCCGCTGTCAGTTGCACTCCAGAACAATGTTTTTATATTAAGTCTTGTACTTTTGGACAATTCTTTGTGTCAACATGTTTTTCGTGATCAGTTTTACTTGCGTATATACGACTCCCACCAAGCTAAGTTCAATGTGCCAGAAATTCAATGTTAGGGGGGTCAGGCAGTTTGATGCCCTTTGTGTTTTTAACAAAGAAATTTGCACACTGCTGCAGCTTCTTATTTTCTAATTGTTTTCAATCAGTATTCATGAACATATAGGCTAGTGTCAAAATATATAGTCACTAAAGCATACATTTTTAAAAAAAAAATATTGGACAACTACCTTGCATAAACACAGACAATAGGTTCTAGAAATGAATTCCTAAGGTTGTGAAACGTGGAAATTTGCGTCTTCAAAAAATTAAATGTTGGTTTCCAGGGATAGAAAAAAATAAGACGCAAAAGGAATGAATATTCATATTAAGGAAACTATCAATAAAAAATTCGAAACACAATATTGCTCAAATTATATATCTTTTTCATATGAAAAATAAAGGGACGAAAAGCATTTCTTTCAATTAATACATGTACTTTGCAAAACTGCTGACATTGGCTTTAATGATTTAAATACTTTTATTCTTATAAAAAAGTCTCAAAAGTAAACCTCGTACATAAATAAAAATTCCGGAAATTCTGGTAAAGGTTCATGCAACACAAACCAAAAATAACAACCGTATTTATAAGTGATGTACATTTTATTAGATTTACAAATAAACAACTGCCGAAAGAAACAAACAAACATAAATATGGCAGCTATCGTTATACATTGGCAACACTTGGTCACACACATGATAAGAAGTGATTTGTTGCAAATTCAGTTCTTTTTTTAGGCGTCAAGAATTCCAACTTAATTCATTGTTTTTCCTTCATGATACACAAAAAGTCGTGTTTCCCGTTTTGTAAGGTAGCTAGATTACACGAAATCTTCACTTAATCGATCATACTTTCTGGACCATTCAAAATCTTCAATAATTTTTCATTAAGGAAATCTTAACATTAACACTTTTTCACATAATTATTCTTGGCGACATGATATCGGTCACAATTCCTTCAATATGTCACATTAAAAAAAAGAAAAGATGAAACGAATAAACATCTTCAAATCAATTATCGTTATATGTTGCGTGTTATCAGGAAATAACAAGAAATCGTATGATTTCCTGATAACCTATATTTTCTGGTCAAAGGTTTAGCAAAATACTCATCAGAACAACATAAGGAAATGTAAAATGTAATATTAGAGTATCCGGCTACAGTTCATCGACTTATTTCGAAGTAATTTTGGGGATACAAAGAAGCTAAAAATTATTTATAAATTAATTATATTTGTCATGTCATTAATAATCAGAAATTCTTACTAATATGACCATACTTCAAAACGTACTCAGCTACATCAAAACTAAGTGAAAATTTACTCTTTTTTGTGACTGAAATGCATTCTTGTTTAGAAGAAAAATGATGACCTTAAAATATACATGCCCAACAAATTTCAAAGACCAAGGCATGAAACAAATACCCAAAGAACAAAGAATAGTTTAAGATGTTTTACGTTTTATCTTTAGCAGTCAAATCACTTTTGTCGTCCATTTCAATTTCTAAAGATCCATCTTCCAAATATCTTTTGACCTCCTCTCCTTTTTCTGCCAAGATTTCCTCTATATTTCTGAAAGGAATTCAAAGTCAGGATGACTAATCATGTATTTTAAGTACAGAAAAAATTACTTTGGATTAGCATAATTTATACTCTATGTGATACTGACTAAAATTTTAAAGTAAGTTAGCAAACAGTGATCAAATTAAAAAATAAACTCTGTACGGTAAATAAACTCTGTACGGTATAAAATTTGTTTATGTCATAAAATTTCATTTTTTAAAAAATATTTTCTTCCCTGTTGAATAGTAGTTCGTTATGATAGTGTAAACTTAAGAGGCATATTGGGCAATCTAATTAAGATTAGATGTTCCGAATCCGCTAACGCTTCTCAAACGGTAGCGGATTCGGAAAATTTAATTTTAATTAGATTGTATATTGGGTATGGGAAAACTGTTGAAAAGAAAATTAAAACATACTAAATTTAACTGTGGAGTTTATACATCTACATAATAAGTACAAGGGGGATGCTTCCTTCTTCTAGGCACCTGATCACGAGGGAGTAATTGACCATGGATGTGTTTCCGAGGCTCTGTATTTTCCCTGCCCACAATTTGTTTTGATACAATGTACTGGTTTTTCCAGTTATCAAATAGAGACTTATCACAATTTCATCCGTCTAACATTTTACACTGAATAACTTTTAGAGCTTTTTTTTAATTATCATGCTTCACAAAAAGGAAAAGAAGGGGTAATGTACTGCATCAGTTTCAAATGATTAATAAATACATTATGTTTCTATTTTAAAAATTGATTTGCATTAAACCACACATTGTAGTTGAATTAATGTACCTCTTTCAGCAACCAAAAAATTGTAATCAGTGTTTCAAGACACATGGTCTAAAAATCATCTATTAAAAGTTAACAAAAAAAAAATGTGCCCCATAACACCAACTTATTGGTTAAATGCGTATTCTCTGTAAAAAAAAAATTAGTTTAATAAATAGGATGTTATAACCAGCATTTAGCTATTTTGAACTGGAAATTATCATTTTTAACAGTGCAAAATTCAGGTATTTTCTCAACATACAGTTTTTATGACTGTATTGATGCATGCTTTAGATATTTCTATCAATTTATTTGGACTGCTGATTTGTGTAGCTGTGCACTTCTAAAGACTTATTAGTAATCTAAAGCATTTTTCTGCAAACGTTAAAATTATTTACGCAAAACATGCTTTCAGTTATGCCTATTTTATTGTTTATTCATCCCAAGAATAACATGTTGTTTAATAATTTTAAGAAATGTTTACTCACCTAGGGTGCCCGGGCATCCCCCTAAAATTGCTGATTATTGCCAGAAATATGAACCCTTGTTAACTTTTATTAGCTGTCAATTGCCACATGTGATTGGTATTACTAAGCAGCCACATAGGGCTAAAATAAAGATGGACCTGTTGTCTCTTATTACAGGAATCCTTATAACAAAGCTTTCTCTTAAAATGTGAGAAAAAGAATTTTAAGTTTATCAATTTAAATTATTAACTTGAATTTTAAAAAAAATCTCAAATTCATGAAATTTTATACGATTCTCTGCATGAATTCATTAACACATGATGTTATTAACACTATAAACATGTTTATGAGTAGAAACTGCACCTGGTGAACAAATATATTTTTTTAAAGTTAAAAATAGATTTATTTCTTTTAATTAGTCCTTAGTCTAACTAATGACAATGATATCATTTTCAAATTTCTGTCATTTTTTCCTTGTGTTTTTCCTAATGATGAAGTTAATGTTATATCAATTAGTTAATTAGTGATCTTGCTCTTCCACTTCTTTTCAAGTGTAGACCACTTGACATATCATTACAGTGAAAAACACAAATATTGTTTTAAAAATTACAACCTAAATGCAACCATTAAAAAAAAAACTTAATACAGAGAGGCCTTATCTTTCAATTTGCCCCAGAATTTCATTGTTTTTCCAAATACTAAGTACATGTATTCTAAGAATTGGCAAAATGCTAGGGAAAACCTACAGACAATGTCAGAAGGGCTAATATTCTTCAGAAATATTTTTACAATTGTGTTGGGAAGTTAGAAGGTTAAATATGAATATGTTAAGGGTCCAGCTGACAAGACTAGTCACAAAACACTATACAGTCTTTCTTTCCAAGGTTCGTTAGATACTGTAAATGATTTTGGATTAATCATTATCTCTTTTCCCTACAATCTAATTTATGCTCATAGTTTACTCATACATGTAACCTATCATTGTGTCATGTTATCTGACTTGTTTCATACCTATTGTTAGACCCTCTCTCTGCTCCTGAGAAACAGACTACACCTGGTACACAGGCACTTGTTTTGGAAATAATTTTTTAACCCACAGTATGATAATAACACAAGGTATCAAACTCAGAATTACCCTCAGGACCCCCGCCTAAGAAATGCACTCATTTACAATTTCAGAGGAGACTGTTTATTACCATTGTCTTCTACTATAATCTATCTGCACAACCATATGTGACATGCATGTCTTTGTTTTCCTTTAATTTTATCTCCGTATACAGCGCACAAACTCTGCTTGCCGAGTGGAAAGTCAAACTCAACCTTGAAACGGTATGTGCTAATCCCCAAAAAGAATTTGACTGGCTAAAAATCTGCCTCTAAGATTACATTAAAAAAATGTTGTAGTGTATTTATGGGAAACGAGACATAATAAAATTTTATTTATTCAATGTAATATTTAAAATCTGGAATTGAATTTTTTAACCCACTCATTTTTAGCTCTACTGGTCAGAGACCAGAAGAGCTTATGCGATAGTAATGCGTCCGGCGTCCGTCCGTCTGTCTGTCTGTAAACAATTTTTCAAAATGCTACTCCTCCTACAGTTTTGATCTGATTTCAATATAACTTGGCATATAAGTAGATTACACTAAGATACATAATTCTGTGTATCGGTTTTTGATTTCGATGAACGGTGTTGGCGTTGTTACTAAAAATAGAAATTTCTGTGAATTCTTTCAAAATGCTACTCCTCCTACAAATTTGGTCTGATTTCAATATAACTTGGCACACAAGTAGACTACACTAAGATACATAATTCTATATATCGGTTTTTGATTTCGACGAACGATGTTGGCGTTGTTACTAAAAATAGAAATTTCTGTGAAATTCTTTCAAAATGCTACTCCTCCTACAGTTTTGGTCTGACTTCAATATAACTTGGCACACAAGTAGACTACACTAAGATACATAATTCTGTGTATCGGTTTTTGATTTTAACGAACGGTGTTGGCATTGTTACTAAAAATAGAAATTTCTGTGAAATTCTTTCGAAATGCTACTCCTCCTACAAATTTAGTCTGATTTCAATATAACTTGGCACACAAGTAGACTACACTAAGATACATAACTCTGTTTATCAGTTTTTGATTTCGACGAACGGTGTTGGCGTTGTTACCAAAAATAGAAATTTCTGTGAAATTCTTTCAAAATGCTACTCCTCCTACAGTTTTGATCTGATTTCAGTATAACTTGGCACACAAGTAGACTACACTAAGATACATAATTCTCTATATCGGTGTTTGATTTCGACGAACGATGTTGGCGTTGTTACTAAAAATAGAAATTTCTGTGAAATTCTTTCAAAATGCCATTCCTCCTACAGTTTTGGTCTGACTTCAATATAACTTGGCACATAAGTAGACTACACTAAGATACATAATTCTGTGTATCGGTTTTTGATTTCAACGAACGATGTTGGCCTTGTTACTAAAAATAGAAATTTATGTGAAATTCTTTCAAAATGCTACATAATTCTTTATATCCGTTTTTGACTTCAATTAACATTATTACCTTGGTTAATAAAGATAGCAATTTCTGTTATTCTCAAATTTGCTACTTCAAATACAGTTTTCACCCCTACTAATGTGTTCGGAACCTTTTCTTTTTCTGTGTTCTGCAAATTATAAAACCCGATGAGTTCAGAGTAGCTCTGACAGTGGCTCTGGCGAGAGTTAGCGAAACTTCAGCGAGATAGGGTAAATTATTCACGGAAATGTGGCTAGGAAGTGACTAGCACGTGGAGACATGGTAAACAGAAAAGTTATGTAGTGTTTTAGTTTTCACCGCCCTATAATATCATTCTGTGGAAATGTACTTCAATAAATTTCTCTTGAATTCATTCAAGTTTAAATTATAAGTATTCTCTGTGATATAATTTTCTGCTGTTGTGAACTAAAATTTCTTTTTGGACAATATTTTGCATGGGAACCGGGACTATATTTTTTGACGTCAGATTAGCAATGAGGCACCGATGTGACTTTAACTGACGAATCAGCTGAATGAGAATTGCATTATGGGTTACTACGAATACTACAGGGATTCTACGCTTGATAAATTCCTTTATTGTACTATCGGTGAATACAATTGTCAGGACTGGGAGATTCCCAGCTGGCCAACACACGTGATCAAGAGTATAGTTATGTAAAAAAATGTTTTGTCCATTTAAATGCATACGAGAAGCTGCTCGTTTTCCTTACCCTTGAAGTGCTGGTGTTCTGACCTTGACACTAACTACGTATTCATTTTATAAAACATATTTTTCTCTAGTTAACAACAAATTAAAAACGCCCGTGAGCCCCGTGATACATGTATCTTTCATAGTTTCTAATGTTTGCATTTTGTTCATAAGAAAATTTTTTCATTTTGCACTCCACTGACATGATCATAGATTGACCTGAACCACGTGTTCGAAGTAAAATGTATTTGGCGTAAACGTATTCAATCAACCATTGGTCAGTTGCTCGTGGTAAGATCCTCTGTGCGCATTAATAGCAATAGCCATATAAGGCAAACAAAGGTTTGTCAGTGTAGATGATGTTACACATTTTTTCACCAGCGTATCAGTCGCTATTGAGCTGTAATATTTGCAGTAAACTATGATAAGATTATTAATTTTTATTCCCCCTCCCCCCCTTTAGCCACCATTTCTGTTGAAAATCATGAAAGTCTTTCAGAAAGGTCTGGAAACACATTTTTCACATGACATGTTTTCAGAAGAAACAGACTATAGCAATTTCCTGTTTACTGCCAATTTTATTTATAAAACCGGTTCTACCCTATAACCTTTTAATAGGTAAACCTAAACCATGTGTCTTGAATTTAAATCACAATAACATTAGTAGGGGTGTTTTAGTCTGATTATAATATAATGTGGCTTGCAACTAGACTACACTAAGAACATAAAGAGACTTATTCAAGGATCATTATTCTCTTTTTTGCCTGTGTAAAGTTTCAATTCCCAACTGCTTAAGTACTTTCCTCTTCCTTTGCTATAAGTACAAACCAGTAGAGCTTCAGTCTCGACAGAGACTTCTGGTTTAATTATCTTTTTGCCCGAGATTAGCACAGATACCGTTTCATGGTTTAGTTAAACTTTTCCACTGAGCGAGAAGATTTTGATGCTGTTTATGGAGATAAACGAAAACAAAGACACGCATGTCACATGTGGTTGTGTAGATAAATTATTGTAGAATACAATGGTAATAAACACTTTGCCATTGCATCTCCTCTGATATGGCAAATGAGTGCATTTCTGAGGAAGGGGGTACTGAGTGTAATTCTGAGTTAGTTACCATGTGTTATTATTAAACTATAGGTTAAAAATTTATTTCCAAAACAAGTGCATGTGATCTGGTTTTAGGGCAGGCAGTAATTTCCAACCCTGGAACTACTTTGATCATCAAGATTATTGAGATGTTGATTATCTATACAATGATTAAAACCATATTTTATTTACTTAAATAGGTTGGGACCAATCACCCAGTTGGGATATAATAGTCCGTTTGGGATATAATATCCCAAATGGGCTATAAATTTACAGTGCAAAAATTGAAATTTTTTATTTTGGCAATGAATATCATAAATCCGCATCAGGACACTTAAAAAAGGGATAACTTTTGGTTGACAAGTTTTTCTGTATGGCCGTTGTTTAGGAGATTGATCACTCGGAAGTTCCTTAACTTCTTGGGGATCAATCTTACAAACTGTGGGTTTGCAGAAAAACTTGTTCCAAAAGTTATTCCTTTTCAAATGTCCTGATGCGGATTTATGATATTTATTGCCAAAATAAAAATTTTCAATTTTTGCACTGTAAATTTATAGCCCATTTGGGATTATTATATCCCAAACGGACTATTATATCCCATTTGGGCGATTGGTCCCAACCTGTTAAAGGGGTTTTACAGAAATATATAAAGTGGAATCCTTGAATTAAAAATTCACTTAAAGCAAGACAAGGTTAGAAGAACAGTTATGGGGATCCTTGATGTTTCAATTAATCAAATGGAACATCTGGGTTGTACAAAACATAAAGGAGATGTGGATGGGAAGGTCTAGAGTGGGTGGGTGGTTATTAAACTATATATAAAAAAGCTGACTAAGGATTATTTAAGTAAATTTAATATGTTTCAATATTTTTTTATTATAAATTTTACCTTCCTTTGACGTGCTTGAACCAACCAATATTGTCCGCGATGAGATGATTGTTTTTACATCCCTCACACTTGATGATAACAACGCCTCTAGTGTAAGCAGTTCTAGAAAATGTTTTAGTAGTCCTTCTATCACACACTTTACACGTAAACTGTATTGCCATTAACTGCTTTAATTGTCCTAAGGGTGTTTTTGAGTCTCCGCTGTCTGATGACATCCATCTCCTTGAGAAGAAATTTCGTGAACATTCAACAGAAGTAACAGGTCTGAGACGATTGTTACAAGTACATGTACGTTGTATTGTCGGCACATTTGTATAATGGAAATTTCCACAAAACTGGCGATAAAAGTTTCTCCTTGGAAGAAACGTTCTTGAAGCAATTAAAAAAAGATTCCGATTCATTTTTGTACTTCACGTGTACATGCAAAATTAAAGCTACTTTCACTTTCCAATAAAATTGAATGTCGATCCCGATCAAACTTCATTTACACAGAATATTCCATCAGAATCATGACATTAATAAAAGTATAAGGTAAAAAGAACTTTTGGAAAAATAAATAAATAAAATATGTATATAAGAGGACTTTTTGTCTACGAGTCAACATCTAAATGTTTATTATTATAAAAAAAAAGTTTTTTTAACACAAGACGGAGATTTTCTGGAATTTAGCTCACAGGGAAAAAAAATGCTTAATGGCATTCCATGATAAAATTTTCTCAACTTCCGTATCAGATATTTCCCTCATTGCAATAGAAATTGCATATGATTTACATGTAACTCTGATTGCTTGTCTCGATTTTTTTTCAATATCGTTTTCATTCAGGCTTAATTGTACAACTAGAATTGTCAGACAATATACAGTACATTCGAAGAAAACTCATTAAAACGTGACGTTTCCATTTTCCTGTCTTCGAGAATCAATTCTGGGTTGATGTCCACACTTTCGGTGACTCCAGTACCTGATATTCCATACTCGTCGTTATCCCCATCTGTAGCACAATCATTTTACAGTAAAAGTGACTAAAGCTTCATCTTTGTCTTTTCTTCATGGAACGTCTTCAGCTAACCTTTCATTTCGATCTGATAGTCAATTTTGTTTATCTCAATTCTTCTAAACGACATTTTCCATTGGTAATTAACTTATTTAAATCTGTGTACAGCAATACTAAAGCTCTATCTCGTATCTTCCTAATCCTTGCTGACACTGACCTGTTGTGAAGTCTTCTCTAAGTTTTCTAAAGTCTTTCCCGTAGATTCAAAGTACTGATAAGTAGACTTATGTTTTTATCTTCAATCTCTTTAGTCTATACCTATCTTAAGTGTTCCTGGGCTCTCTAAAATGTCTTTTATAACCACAGTTTAAGTAGGAAAATACCAAACATTCTTGCGAAACATCTCTGTAAATAACCAATACTTCGTTTATATCGCTCAGTTGATTCGATACACAAGAGCATGCTCTACGTATAAACGATTTTTAAAACGAGGTAAAGCAAGTGTAACAGGAAGAGAGAAACTGTATGGCTGGACCGGGAATCGAACCCGGGACCCCTGCATCTCAAGTCATGTGCTCTACCAACTGAGCTATCCAGTCCGATATCCTCGGCCCAAACCAATACATTCCTCCCTCCTTAAATGGTCTTCGCCCTCGAAGACAACCCAAATTCTTATTACCCCCTGGCAGGACTTTCGCCTGCAGTTCCAGGGGTGGTCAACGGCACCAGATCTGTAACAGGAAGGGAGAAACTGTATGACTGGACCGGGAATCGAACCCGGGACCCTGCACCTCCAGTCAGATGCTCTACCAACTGAGCTATTCAGGCCGATATCCTCGGCCCAAACCATTACACAAGTTTATAATGGAAGGCTATTAATCCTTAAAAGTCTTCATTTCTAAAGATGATACATTGATATTGTCAGTAAATACAATACATGTGCTGATTGACGTTTTTCATACTAATTGTCAGGCCCTTTTTTACACACTTTTTTTTTACACACTGAATTGTCGACGGATGTTTTCGTCATTTCCTGATCATGCCGAGGAGCATTAGGTGGGCGTGACCTGTCGGCAGGGGATGCTCACTCCTCCATGGCAACTGACCCCAACTCTGATTTTTAAGAGGTCCGTGTTTGTTCTATACTCCTGGTTTGTAGTTTTTCACTTTTTTGACTTCTGAGCTTGAAAACTTTTCGTCATTTCTATATACATATGTATTTCAATCACGTGGAGGATTGTAGCACATATATTTTAACATCCGTTGAATCTCTCAACCAAGACTCTTGTCCGTTAATCATAGGATAGTAAAGAGCGGTAATGACTAATGAGTCATATATGACAAGTTCAACAGTCGACTTGCGTCTCTCACAATTATGTAAATTGAGAACCTACCGGGTATACCGCTCAACATCTCCTTAGGTACTTCAACTCTAGATAGTATGTATCTGAGCACATTTGCAACTTTCCTGGTTTCATTTCATGGCAGTGGTGCAGTTTCGGACTGCCCAGAAGCAAAAGTACCAAATAAAAAATATACCATTACCTTCATTGCTAACAAAATGAATAGATTTTTTTTTCATCAGCTCTGATCCTATTTCTCTGAACACATTAACTGGCTAACAGCCAACAAAGTCTACTGACAAGGGCATGTTGTGGTGCAGTTGAAAGCAAGATGAAGAAACTGGTGTGACTGAATCAAAATTCAAAGAATTTGTATAAGTGTTTTTGTTATTCTTCTGCACTAGATGTAGAGTCCTTGATTTCCTTCTGTTCTTGTATTCATACTGCGTCGATCTTTTGTCTCGTTCAGCATCCCAATGCAATATATTCTATATATTACTGCTTTTGTAACAATGTCTTTCTGGATTTGGAACAATAAATTACTTGCTTTTATTTTTGTTCTTCTCACCCACAGGCCTTTGGATCGTTTTAAAAAATTTGTGTGTGTAAAAAAATATTTTAACACCTCAAATTTTTTTTTCAAAGCGATCTATAGGCCTGTGTTCTCACCTGAAATGTCTTTGATTGATATTGAAACTCATTGCATCTGTTCATCCAGTTTCTCTTTCATCCGCTGATACTCCATTTTAACGAGTTATCTTTCTACCAAGCGCTCTTCTCTTTAAATAAGTACAGTTCATGTACATGTATTCTATTATTGTCTAACAAATTCTCATAGATTAATACCATCTTCTTTATTACCTACTTCATATTCAATAATCTCTTTCAAAGCCTCTGTAAGGATGGAAATTTAAGAAACGGAAAATCGTACAGAAAAAACAATTACAGATTTCGTAATCTCAGCGCCAAGTTGTAGGTCCCGGATAACTTTGTCACTAACTATCTACAAAATACAGTGACATCAATTGAATGAAAATTCAATTTAACTGATTGCTTAAAAAAATAACTTATGATTCAGGAAATCACTTGGAAATTCTTCTTCTTCTGCTCCGGCCTCTGTCTTGGTTAAAGTCCAATGCATGAAGAGACGTTTCCTTCAAGAGGTTCCTCTGGCATAGTTTTAAGTTAAATTTCCAGGGAAACTCGGTTCTTTAAAAATCTTCTTGTATGTCCGCGTTGGATCTACTTCTGAGTGTTTGTATACGGTAGTCCAAACCATTGATACACTTCAGTGGTATTCCACAGATCGGTTAAACATTCTGGCGTCTCCATATGAGCATAAAGAAATGAAAGAGATGTTAAACAACATAAAATCAATCAATATACTCTTGAAACCATTCATTGTGAGTCCTTCAAGGTGGCTACGTACAAGTGTTTTCAAAATAATAAAAGAGAAAATAGGGTTCTGCTTTTTATATAGGAATATGTGTACAAATTGCATGTATTTCTGATACTGGCTCTAAGTCCGCGTCACTCTACTGCTCTCTACTATTACATTTACACCACACTTCATACAATGGGACTTCAGAAGGTCTTATGAAAAAAATTCATGCTTCTCATGTCGATAATAAATTTTGCAAGTCAGTTAAAGCCCTCGCTGAGTATTGCAAGAAATCAAGTTAAAATCGAAGAAACAAAAATGTTCCAAGTGCTCTACAATTCGAAATATTACAGGGCAGCATCTGTAAATCATAGATCAGAAAACCAAGTGATATTTAAATTTAAGGTTATAAAAATGTCGTGGTGCAATAATTTGAAAACACAATTTATGGATACTTTAGCTCACCTCGACGAACTTCGGACGAAGTCCAAATGAGCTTACGCTATACCCTCGTCGTCGGCGTTAGCCTCGGCGTTCCAGTTCAAGTTTCAGTCTTGAGCAGGTCCATTCTAAAGTAACTATAAGCTCTACTTTGATCAAACTTACATGGATGATGCATCTAGGGATGGACATTACCTGCCTTGCTTCGGATATTGCATCTGATCTAGACTACTTTTTCCAGTTGTTACCAGGTTAAAGTTTCTTTGAGCAGGTCAATTCCGAAGTAACACCAAGCCCTACCTGAACCAAACTTTCATTGATACTGCATCTAGCTATATGGATCGAAACTACCTAACCTGCTTAGAATGCTGGATTTGACCTGTATTTTCTATAGATGAGTGAATTTTTGCCTTTTTAAAAACCAAATTAGCACGAATGATGTATTAAGGGATAGATACTAAAAGATTTGTTGCAGATGCTGAATTTGACCTTTATTTTCTAGATTAGTTACCAGGGTAATGTTTTTGGAGTAGCTCTATAATTATATGACGTGTTATTATTAAATTTGCATGGATGCTGCAACTAAAGATGAACATTTCCCCATCTTGCTTCGTGTTGGAAATGAGTAGCTCTATAATTATATGACGTGTTATTATTAAATTTGCATGGATGCTGCAACTAAAGATGAACATTTCCCCATCTTGCTTCGTGTTGGAAATGAGTAGCTCTATAATTATATGACGTGTTATTATTAAATTTGCATGGATGCTGCAACTAAAGATGAACATTTCCCCATCTTGCTTCGTGTTGGAAATGAGTAGCTCTATAATTATATGACGTGTTATTATTAAATTTGCATGGATGCTGCAACTAAAGATGAACATTTCCCCATCTTGCTTCGTGTTGGAAATGAGTAGCTCTATAATTATATGACGTGTTATTATTAAATTTGCATGGATGCTGCAACTAAAGATGAACATTTCCCCATCTTGCTTCGTGTTGGAAATGAGTAGCTCTATAATTATATGACGTGTTATTATTAAATTTGCATGGATGCTGCAACTAAAGATGAACATTTCCCCATCTTGCTTCGTGTTGGAAATGAGTAGCTCTATAATTATATGACGTGTTATTATTAAATTTGCATGGATGCTGCAACTAAAGATGAACATTTCCCCATCTTGCTTCGTGTTGGAAATGAGTAGCTCTATAATTATATGACGTGTTATTATTAAATTTGCATGGATGCTGCAACTAAAGATGAACATTTCCCCATCTTGCTTCGTGTTGGAAATGAGTAGCTCTATAATTATATGACGTGTTATTATTAAATTTGCATGGATGCTGCAACTAAAGATGAACATTTCCCCATCTTGCTTCGTGTTGGAAATGAGTAGCTCTATAATTATATGACGTGTTATTATTAAATTTGCATGGATGCTGCAACTAAAGATGAACATTTCCCCATCTTGCTTCGTGTTGGAAATGAGTAGCTCTATAATTATATGACGTGTTATTATTAAATTTGCATGGATGCTGCAACTAAAGATGAACATTTCCCCATCTTGCTTCGTGTTGGAAATGAGTAGCTCTATAATTATATGACGTGTTATTATTAAATTTGCATGGATGCTGCAACTAAAGATGAACATTTCCCCATCTTGCTTCGTGTTGGAAATGAGTAGCTCTATAATTATATGACGTGTTATTATTAAATTTGCATGGATGCTGCAACTAAAGATGAACATTTCCCCATCTTGCTTCGTGTTGGAAATGAGTAGCTCTATAATTATATGACGTGTTATTATTAAATTTGCATGGATGCTGCAACTAAAGATGAACATTTCCCCATCTTGCTTCGTGTTGGAAATGAGTAGCTCTATAATTATATGACGTGTTATTATTAAATTTGCATGGATGCTGCAACTAAAGATGAACATTTCCCCATCTTGCTTCGTGTTGGAAATGAGTAGCTCTATAATTATATGACGTGTTATTATTAAATTTGCATGGATGCTGCAACTAAAGATGAACATTTCCCCATCTTGCTTCGTGTTGGAAATGAGTAGCTCTATAATTATATGACGTGTTATTATTAAATTTGCATGGATGCTGCAACTAAAGATGAACATTTCCCCATCTTGCTTCGTGTTGGAAATGAGTAGCTCTATAATTATATGACGTGTTATTATTAAATTTGCATGGATGCTGCAACTAAAGATGAACATTTCCCCATCTTGCTTCGTGTTGGAAATGAGTAGCTCTATAATTATATGACGTGTTATTATTAAATTTGCATGGATGCTGCAACTAAAGATGAACATTTCCCCATCTTGCTTCGTGTTGGAAATGAGTAGCTCTATAATTATATGACGTGTTATTATTAAATTTGCATGGATGCTGCAACTAAAGATGAACATTTCCCCATCTTGCTTCGTGTTGGAAATGACTGACATTTTTTGATAAGTCAGTAGGTTAGTTTTGGAGCAGGTCCATTTCCAATAAATTAGAAGTTCTGCTTTATCCAAACCTGCATGAATATTGATTTTTGAATGTTTATTAACTAGGAATACTGAGTAATATGTTTTTTTTTTAGTTATAGACACAATTCGTCGAGGTGAGTTTTGTAATCTACATAACATAAGTCACTCATCTGGCAATGTTACAAAAGTTTATTTTCTAAGACACGAAAGAAGCTTTTTTGTTAAACCTTTACAGGTCTCTCAATTTCATTTTGCAAAATTTAAGTACTAGTATGTAATAGTTCTCTCTCTCTCTCTTGCTCTCTCTCTCTCTCTCTCTGATTATGTTTAATGTAAATTGCATAAAAATAAAATTTTACAACACGTCAAAGATTTAGTGTTTATTGTGAATCTTTACAAATATATAGTGCACCAAAATAATACCAATGATTAATTCCGTGTGAATGTATTGCGTACATACGGTAAACATTCCACAACATATGTGCCATCTTTACATAATCACAAGTATAGAAACTTTTACTAACTGTAGCACCCCTGCATACATTTGACTATGACATCGCTACATATGTTATACATATATTCAATTTATTCCCTTTCAAAACTAGTTATCAAGGTACTCTCACATTCATGGATTATAAATTTAGGCGTCACCAAATATTAAAGCATAATACACCAATTGTCTCAATTTGCACATTTGAATCATTAATCAACTTTTACTTACAAACACACACAAGGTCAGTTGCTTTCGTACATGTTTACTGCATGTTCCAATGATACACCAATAATACTGGTTGATAAATATTTCTTTGAATGTGAAAGAAAATGACAACATTTTATAAGACGCATTATGAATTGTTAACGACACATCGAAAATGGACAAGAGACTTAATCTAACATTAAGTTTAAGCACATCTGAGCATTTTAAGATACTGAGTAATGCAACTTGGTTGCATGAGAACAAATCCTTGATCAATCAACCTTTTAGTAAGGAATAACAAACATGGCATTAAGCATCTTAATCAATTCAGTTATTGCATTGTACGGACTATGTTCACTGAAGGTCCATGTTTTTATGACTAGACATCACTTTAATTGGTAGATATGGACCCAGCCTTTGTAATACTGAGAGACAGCAAGGCGATGAGTATCCTCGTCGTAGGCGATGCTCTCTGGGTCGTAACCCAGATTCGGCCACACTTTCATAAGAGATCCGTCTTTAGTAAAAACACACAGTTTTCCCCCTGTAGTGGCCACTATAACATGGAGCCCCACCACACATATTCCCCTGGGTTTTCCCGGAAGTTCTTTCTCCCAGTAGAGTTTTTCTGAGTATGACACACAGAGCAGTTTATCTCTATTAACATCGGAGAGATACATAACATTTCTGTTCGGATCCATTGTTATATACAGGTGAAACGCCTTGAAATGAGTTTCATTTGGTCTTTGAATCTTTTCAAGCTGCTGAACAACTTTTCCTTCGTCATTCAATATAGCTACACATTTGCTTTCTCCTCCAATATTAACAGTAACTCCAAAATGGTATCTGGCGAAAGAAACGCCATATCCATTTCCATTCAGCACAAAACACTTTCCCTCACTTATCGTCTTCTCGTAAATTTGGTAATTATAAACTCTCTTATGACACGTGATCACTACGTCATTAACACCTGCACCAACCGAAATCCCACGACAACCTTCGGGAATTTGCTTGCATATTGTTTCCTGGAAATTTTCATCGAACACTTTCAGTTGTTCATTTCCGAAGTTGATGATAACCAGTCGACCATCGGTTGTCCAGACGACACCTTTTCTATTAAAATCCCGCTCAGCCGACTTTAATTTCTTGATCTCGGTGATTTCGAAGAGTAAAGGTTCTTCCGGAATAGTGGCATCGCTGTTGCTTCTCGAGCGCGAGGTACTGAAACTAGGTAAACGATCTCTTGAATGTGGGAATGCGAATGAAACTGGGGAACCTCGGGGAATTTCGTCACTTATACGTCTGACAGAAAGGCTTCCTCTGGGTACCCTTTCGTAAGACAGACTCCGGGAGAGGAGGGACTTTTCGCTGAAGGGTCTCTCTGGTCGTCTTACAGGAGATCGTATTGGTGGTGACAAGGAATTTTGTGATGATGAGCGCGTTGGCGGAGACGCAGAACTTTGAGATGTTGGTCTGTTTGGCGGTTTTCTTGGGTCCTTTGGGTCAGTGGTTCCAGTTTTGATTGAAATTGGTTTGGAGTCTGTAGAACTTACTCGGCGGGAGTTCTCGTCTCTTGAGGAGGAAGCTGATGGGTTTCTTGATTCATTCTGGGACATCGTGCTCTGACAAATTTAAACCCGGGGCCAATCAACCTATTAGATTAAAATTGTATTACCTTGTATTCCGCAAAAAGTTCATTGTATACTAATAAGCTCTACAGCTAGATCTATTCAAATATTTGGAGGATAATATTACATACAGTAGGCCTATATAAATACAATACACTGTCCTTTATACATACCAGAAAGAAAAATGATATTATTTGAAGCAAATTAATCTTTTATTTTTTCAATATAAATACCATTGGTGAAGCTGAATATTAAAATGTATTTCGACACGATTTGAAAATATATACATGTATATATAGTATGGCAAAGGTTAGAGGGGTAGGGGATAGTTGAATTTAAAAACAGGTCCAGATAAAACAGAAACTGGATTTTGAATATGTCTTACATTGGCAATTAATGCACCATCTGTTAGACCACCCAAATGCATTTACTAGTATCTTCGTAAAACGTGAATTTAACAATAAAATCTGGCGTTCACACGTTCGAGTGGTTTTTGACACTCTGTAGAAAAACAAACTGTTTATAGAATGTCAATAGAAAAAAAAATGTTTACATAATGTAGAGGATTAACTAGAAGTTTAAACTAATCATCGTAATATATACGTATACTGACCTTAATCATTTTCCGGATGTTCATAGTGCTATCTCATATCTCAAGTCCGATTTTCAAGTTACCATTTCAACACCTGCACATCTTCTTGAGAACATTCTCTATGTGCCGAGTAGAGACTGCAGTTGTTGTGCAAACTTGACTTGTTTTTCGTGCGTCCCTCTCATGTATATACTTTGAACATTTTAAAGAGCTTTAAAATTAAACTTCTGGAGGAATTCCAATTCATTGTAAACTTTTTACCTTTCGATTGTTAATCTATTTCAAATGTAATTTAAACCAACTCCGAGCAATTTAATAAATATTGAAATATAATTTCACTTCTCTATCTGTATACCGTGTGTGTATTTGGTTCGTGAAAAATCTTAGCATATTTGTTTACAAGATTTCTTAGCACTCTAATGGCGATTTAAAAATTTAAAGTTGGAAACATCATCTTTTAAAACGTAAAAACGATTTAAAAATTTTGTTGAAATGCGTTTCATTCTGGGAATTATATCTATCTATGAAATCCTCGATTATTATTTCTTGTTCTATGCATTATTTATGATGATTGAAAGGATTTTAAAAGGGACTGTTTTCTTTAAATTTCAAATAATGGAAATTTTGATTTCAGAACGTTTGTTGTTCTGGATCTGCGTTATTGACGCCAGACTGATTAATTTTGATCAGTATATGAATATAATAATACCGGATTTGTGGTTGGGGCGCGTCATTGGATTTCTATTTGTGCAGTGTGCATTTTAAATACTTCAAATCTCGTATTGTAAAACTCGGTTAAATCCTTTCAGCTATGTCACATATCGGTCAAATTCACTACAATACCAAATAGGCCTACATGTATTTAAGATTGATTTCTGTGCAAGCGAGATTAGCTAAATTTGGAATTTGTTCACAGGTGAATTACATAGCAACGCATATTCCCTAAATAACGATAAAGGTACATGTTGCTTTTTATCTTCCAAATGACAGTATCCGTGTTTTTAACGGAGGATTGAATGACTAATTTCCCCATCACTTAGACACCTGTACAAGCTCAAATTTAAGACAGTAACAGAGAGAGAGAGAGAGAGAGAGAGAGAGAGAGAGAGAACAATCAGATCTATATCAGTTGACTTCCAACTTATTGTATATGACGAAGGGTGGGATAAGACAGTGACGATCAAACAAAAGGCGAGCTCTTCTGTGTCACAAATTTTTTTAAAATTAAAATTCCAAAACTCTTGAAATATCTGTAATTGTAAAAAAATTAACAGTTTCCGGCCACTTTTTTCCGTTTAAAATCTGCTATTGGAATGTTTATTGAAAAGCCGGTCCCCCCCCCCACCACACACACTTTGTGTTACAGTGAAATAAGGGTAAAGTAGTATATAACATACGAAAAGAATTGATACTGAAAAAATAAGTTGGCCTCTTTTTTCGAGTTTGAGCAATTTTTTTTTTTTAGCATGTCAACTATTTTCAGGGAAGTTAAACTTTTTTCTCTGTCTGCCCCCCCCCCCCCTTTTCAAAAACGATGCTACGTCACTGAATGTATTTACCATTAACCAATTAATATCTATTGTGTAAGTTACTTGTACCAGAGGACCAATGAGAGAAAAGCTGCATGTTGACAGTTAGCACCGCCCACTTCATTCTGTCAAGCCATGGTCCGGAGTCTGTATATATACCTTTCTCCATCTGAACGTATCGTATTTTAAATGCTGCGTCTAGGGTATCGTCGATCAAAAAAAAAATCGGAATGATTGACCTTTATTGGGTATGAGTGAAGATGTTGCAGCTTACACAGAGGGCTTGATTTTTGTCACGAACAGAGGTAGCGATCGTAAACTATTTTATTTTAGGCTGTTATTCCTTTCGAAGATCGATTTTATTTGGGTTTTTTTTTTTTTCTTCAATGGAAAACATCGCCGACTGAACTTTTCATTTATAGCGATCAATGTACAAAAACCGCGAAATGATTTCTGACATTTTATATAAAGTTTGAATTGTAATTGCAAGCATAGGCGTCGGAAGCAAATTAAAGGGGGGGGGGCTAAACCAACCAAAAAAGGTAAACCCCAATTTTAAATGCCTATATATTATGTCTATCTTTGCAAAAAAGTGGGGGGGGGGGGGCTAATTAATGCACTATGTCACAAAATAAAAACACACAAGTCTCTGTCGAGACTCTCTAATGGTTTGTACTTATAGCAAAGGAAGAGAAAAGTACTTAAGCAGTTAGAAATTGAAACTTTTCAACAGCAATAAATAGAATAATGATCCTTGATTAAGTCTCTTTATGTTCTTAGTTAATCTACTTGCATGCCACATTATATTATAACCAGACTAAAACTGTTATTTGGAGTAGCATTTTGAGAGTATTTAACAGAAATTTCTATTTTTAGTAACCACGGCAACACCGTTCATCGAAATCAAAAACCGATACACAGAATTATGTATCTTAGTGTAGTCTACTTGTGTGCCAAGTTATTTTGAAATCATACCAAAACTGTAGGAGGAGTAGCATTTTGAAAGAATTTCAAACAAATTTCTATTTTTAGTAACCACGGCAACACAGTTCATCGAAATCAAAAACCGTTATACAGAATTATGTATTTTAGTGTAGTCTACTTGTGTGCCAAGTTATATTGAAATCAGACCAAAACTGTAGGAGGAGTAGCATTTTGAAAGAATTTCACAGAAATTTCTATTTTTAGTAACCACGGCAACACCGTTCATCGAAATCAAAAACCGATACACAGAATTATGTATCTTATTTTCAGTCTACTTGTGTGCCAAGTTATTTTGAAATCATACCAAAACTGTAGGAGGAGTAGCATTTTGAAAGAATTTCAAACAAATTTCTATTTTTAGTAACCACGGCAACACAGTTCATCGAAATCAAAAACCGATACACAGAATTATGTATCTTAGTGTAGTCTACATGTGTGCCAAGTTATATTGAAATCAGACCAAAACTGTAGGAGGAGTAGCATTTTGAAAGAATTTCACAGAAATTTCTAATTTTAGTAACCACGGCAACACTGTTCATCGAAATCAAAAACCGATACACAGAATTATGTATCTTAGTGTACTACTTGTGTGCCAAGTTATATTGAAATCAGACCAAAACTGTAGGAGGAGTAGCATTTTGAAAACTTGTTTACAGACAGACAGACGGACAGACAGACAGACAGACGGACAGACGGACGACGGACGCATTAACATCGCATAAGCTCTTCTGGTCTCTGACCAGTAGAGCTAAAAACGGGGACCTTTTATATGTTTAATGTGAAATTACTATTTGGAGACAAGAATAAGAATTAATTAAGGCAATTCGAGATCAAACGTATAACGTTAACAGGATACGCTTAGTAAAATACATGTTGATTTCTATAAATTAATGTTAGTATTCTTAAGTTTAAAATGTTGACTAAAACATTTATCAGTTATTGCCAAGGTTTTGAAATAAGCATCATTCATTCATTCATCAGTCAAGGTCTTGTTACATGTATTATGGCTTGATTCCAAATTGTGGGCGTGACTTAAAAACTGTGGTTCTTCTGGCAAATACACCACAGCAACATCAAAGTAAAATCTGAATTTACCGCCAGTCCTATGGTACAACAGAAGTTTGAGTAGAAGTCAGGGTACCTAAACTGATACTTTGACCCCAAAGAAGACATTCTGGTGGTCAAAACTATCAATTTTAAAAAAAATTATAAATGACAACAAATTCATTTAACAGATTTAAATTTATTATTTTTTTTAAATGCTAATAATTAATGCACTTGTACACAAAATAAATACACACACAAAAAATATTTTTCTCTAATGATATTTTTAAAAGAATCAACATCCTGCGTTCACGTAGGAAACAGCCTCTGTTCAATTGAGAATTGTGCATATGGTAACATTGCTCTTTTTATAAGCTAACAACTGAAGGTTAAATTGTAAATCACTTCATCAATTTCTTTTCTTCCAAGTAAGTTAGAGAAAACGTTCTTGCTAAAGACAATAAAATCTAATATTTGCAAATATATGTACCCTGTTGAGTGAGTGATAAAAAAATGGAAGAACTTAGCAATTTCTGCATCTCTAAAGCACTATGTGGATAAAAAAAATCCTAAATGAATACAGAACAAGAGATGTTTGTAAAACACTTATGCCCCCTCCCCCCAAATTGGAATTTTTCTAAGTCCGAAAGGGCATAACTCTGTCAAAAATGGCGCGATTGACCAAGATATTTATCTGATAAATAAGTATACCAAATTTCATCTCAGTATGTGCAACCTCTGCAAAGAAAATGAACGGAAACTGCAAATAATTGAAATTTTTCTAAGTCCAAGGGACATAACTCTGTCAAAAATGGTGCGATCGTACCCAAAACAGCACTTGACCTAGATATACCTCTGATAAATCTGTACGCTAAATTTCATTTCAGCTTTTGCAACGGTTGTGAAGAAAATGAATGGAAACTGCAAATAATTGAAATTTTTCTAAGTCCAAGGGGCATAACTCTGTCAAAAATGAAGCGATTGTACCCAAAACATAACTCTACCTACATATTCATGTGATATATCTGTATACCAAATTTCATTTCAGTATGTGCAATGGTTGAATTTCAAAGAAAAATGCATTTTCACTATATAACCAACAGACCGACCAGCAGACAGCAGCAAAGAAATATGCCCTCCCTTCTTCAAAGGGGGGCATAAAAATCAATATCTATGACCAATGTCCATGACCTTCGACCTTCATGTTTTTTTTTATCTGACCTTACACACATGTACAATTACCATCTTGACCCAAAAAGGACAGGACAAAGTACATCTTAATTAATTTTTTTTTTTTTTTACAAAATAAACACAAACACTGAGAGACCAAATCAAATTGAACAATTTTCAGCCTCAAAGGTTTAATTATAATTATACATTAAAAACTCAACTAATTAATGTGCAATAACACAGAAAAATACTTTTAACATTACTAAAATACCAATAATCTTAACATATTTTATGAACACACAAACACAAGTCCATTCCAATGGACTTTTCAAGAGGGAACATTAAAGAGTTCATTAACTTAGGCCATTCCAAGTTTTTTCTATGTTTAGTGTCCAAGGACGGATTGGTTTTGAGGTAATGAAATTAATAACAAACACAAATTAAAGTCAACAAATATACATCTTTGAAACGCAATTTACTCTTTTGGAATCGGCATCCCTCTTTTTAATGTGGTGTACCAAAAAATGTTTATTTCAAAAAACTTAGTTTACTTCAGTTACAAAGTAAGTAGGATTCTCACATGATGATGAGAAATTAATCTAGAACTGTGCTAAAAATGGTTTTTTTCCCCTTTTGATTTGTGTGTGTGTGTGTTTTTTGATAAAAAGATAGGTTTTCGAATTAAGGGTTGATGCACACAAAGAAAAAATTTGGAAAGGCCTTACACATATTATTGTACATGTTGATTTCTATATATTCAATCTTTGTAAATGCATAAGTTAAAAGAGGCAATAAAACATAGCTGCAGGGAAGGGTAAGCATGAATGTTTAGTATAATTCTAGTATTTCTTAAAATGAGATTTCAAACTGTAAATATAAAGAAGCCAAAACACAACCCATGCACTGATTTTGAATATAATAATCTTGAACATGGACACTTAAAAGAACAGAAGTTGATCTTCTTCCTTCCCCATCTTTATTGCTTGTAAAAGTAAATCATAATTGCACTTTCAAATACATCAAGTTTTTAATGTAAATTTCAAAAATATGGAAAAGTGTGTGTGATGTGTTCAAATTGAGGGAACTATCAACATACGGTTCCAGGGATGAAATGTGAGGATGTATGAAAAAAAATATTATCTGTACAAATATGTGGGTTACAGAGAAACCAAGGCAAGAATCAAACTGAAAAAAATTAAAGTTTGAGAATCTTGAAATTGTAACTGCACCTTGAGCTTTAAGTGTAAATGAAAAAAACAACTTTTCTGCTTACATCTATTTTTTTTTTTTTAAATCCTGTACATTATGAAAAAACCTCTCCAATCCAAAATTGACTATTTAATTTAAAGGATATTAAAGGATATTGAATTGAAAATGTTTTCTTTACATTAAATGTCAGTTATAATTTATAAGGAATCTTAATATATAAAAGTGAGAAACAACCAGCGTAAGGGGGGGGGGGGGGTACTGTTTTCTTTTTTCAAATTAAAAAGGTAAATTACATAAATACATTTGTAATAATACTATGATTACTTTTCTGAAAAATTTCAGTATTACTCATTCAATTAATCCAAAAATAAAACAACATGTACACATTATGTAATGTTGTAACTTTTATGAATATATTTCTCAGATCTAGAAACTGATACATGGCAACAAAAATATTTCAGTAGGGAGGGGGAGTCTAAAATAAAGAAAAAAAATATATAATATCTCTGACTTGAAAAAATATAGTAATTAATATATGAAAAATGAATGGTCCCCGGAACTGCTATTATAACTATTGCTAACGGTCCCTCATAGGTATAGTTTCCTATTCATCCTTAGTTGTACCATTTGTACCATTTGTCAGAGAATTAATATCCTGAAAAAATAAAATAAAGTATTTTTTTTAATTTCAAGATCTTTGCTTTCTGTTTCTTTTCAGATCTCTTTGAATTTAAATGCAAAACCAACAGAAATATTTCTATAACCCATTCATTATTTCTGTGTAAGAAATATTCATGAGTTAAGTCCCTTTCTTATACTCACAAATATTTTTGTGAACTATCTTTTCTATTACGTATTTATTGAGAAAAAAAACTTCTGCAGAATAATTTCTTGGTAGCAAAAAAATTATCTTTGTTGATAAATTTTAAATAAAAAAATTGCAAATATAAAAGTTGTTTCAAACAATAATTGATTTAAATTACTGTAGATGGGGTCATAATTCCACAGAATCTCTATTTCTGTTTTCAGATAAAAAATTATGCGGATTTCTTAGACTCTTGCTATATGTCTTACATATATATTAAGTATGATGGGAAAATATTTGCCTACACATAGCGAAAATAAATACAACCCAGAAAAGTACTTCTATAAAGGTATTTCTGTAAAATATCTACAAATATATTTCTTTTCATTTTTCCATTGAGTTAGTGATATACATGTATAAAACATATACAAGTAATAGTTTGGGGTTTGTTTTTTTTTTTTACATTTGATTAATGTACTTACTTCTTCAACAATCTTTTTCAACTTCTCATATGCTGCATCAATATCATCATTAACAATTATGTGATCATAGGATCCTGGTTGCTCAGCTGTAAACACAAGAAAAAGTAAACTGAAGTATTACTGTAAAAGCAGAAATATTCATTGGGGATTTAATTTCGTTTATTTCATTGTTAGCAATTATCAACGATATTAAATCACATACAAAATTGTTCTTGGAGTTCTTATAGTAAATTTTAAAGAAGGAAAACAAAGCTCTCACCATACTCCAGAGCCTCTTGAGCAGTGTCCAGGCGTTTCTGTAAGGACTCAGATGTTTCTGTGCCTCTTCCTTCTAATCTTTTCCTCTGCAAAGATATAATACATACATGTATTATGTATGCAGGGAAAGTTTCACCCATTTAATTTCTGCCCCATTCAATTTTAAAATACTGTATAAGTGGAAATTTTAGCGAGACGCAAATTTAGCGATTTCTTCTTAAAAACTGGTATTTTATTTTTAGCGAGAAGTAATTTTAGCGATTTTAAAATGCTCACGATAGTAACTAGTACAAATAACACGCAATTTATTTTTAGCGATATTCAATTTTAGCGACCTCAACAGCCTCGCTAATAATGCCAAAATTAAATCCTCGCTAAAATTTCTACTTATACGGTATTAAGCATATTGATACAGTACACTGAAATAAGAAATCACCTGATCAAAAATGATCTCTTTTGAACTTTGCAGACATTTAACAAATATTACACGTCAAACCAAAATGCTACAATATACAGTGTATTTTAAGATTGTAAACCTTTCTTTGTCATGAAAACTTAAGTGCTTTTTTCATAAACAACCACTGAAATATGGCTGAATTCCGACAACTTATAAAATATGATAATCAATCAATCAATTCATGAACAGTCACTGTTTGTGAAAAAATATTCATTTTAAGACTGAATACTAAATATTTTACCAAATCCTCCAATGAAGGTGGCTTGACAAAAATAAATACAGCATTTAGGTCGGTTTGTTTTATGTTTTTCACTCCATTAATTTCCACGTCTAGTACACAAAGTCTGCCTGATTTCTGGATCAGGTCCACGGCCATCTTACTGAAAGAACAACAGAGGACTGAACGATAAAACTAACTAAATGTACTAAAATATATCAATTCACATCTTGGCGTATATACATTTACTGTTATCTTTCTATGCACCATAAAATCACTGAAATTTCTTTTCACTAAAATTATAGATATTAATTTTCAAATACAATTTGCTTAATTTCATGAAATTCCATGGTGTATTCTTCAGATCTCTCTGAGTTTCTCTTACCTTGTTCCATATCTATTGCCAGAGAACTGTGCATGTTCCAAAAATGAACCTTCTCCTATCATTTTTTCAAATTCTTCCATTTGAACAAAAAAGTATTCTGCAATAAATAATTATGATTTTATTTAAGATTATGAACAAATGGGTTATTTGTGTATGAAGGTATTTTTTATGATATATGTAGAAAAGTACCTTTTAAAAACATTTTTATTAAAGAGTAAAAAAGTTCTACTTATATAACAGTCTTCGCCATATCTTTTTTTCAGCACATGCCCTACGGGCAGGTGTAACCACTAATTATGCTAGCCCGCACAAATATTTACACGCACAGAATTTTATCAAGTTAATTAATTATTATTTGCCTTTTCATGCCAAGGAAATGATCCGTATCCATTCTATCTTTTTCAACCTGTACACTTTTTGGTCTCCTTTGCAAAAGAGTTCTGTGGAAATCGTGGTAGCATACATGTAAACTGTCATTAAAATTTTTTTCTGTCCTTCAGTTTAGATGGAAAACTAGACCTTTAAGTACATTTAATATTATTGGTCTTATTCAATTTGAAAATATGGAGACTTATGCCTCCAAATTTACATGCCCTTTGGGCTTGTAAGTGTGCAGTTTCCACATGCCCACTTCCAAGTTTACCAGGTCCCGGGCTTCGGACTCCCAGGATTTGTCAAAGACTGATATGATGTGATGAATATATTTTGTTTCTTTTAACCTTTTCCCTGCAAGTCAATTTGAAATTTACAAATAAAATACATGTAAAAATTCTGACATCTTAGATATGTTGCTTTTGTTGCCCTATACCTGTAAATAAAACTGTGAAAGTTTTTGGTAACCCTGAGCTAGTAACTTACATACACTGACTGCATATAAAGCTATAAATCACCTACTCTACAATACACATACAATGATGTGTCTCCCAATTTCTTCTCACCTTTTCCATGTTGTTCTCCTGACCTGGGCTTTCTTGTTGTATCTAAAATGACAGAATTAAATGTATTCATCATACCAATCTAAGTTAAACAAAAACAACATATAATACCCCCCCCCCCCAAAAAAAAATATTGAATTTAGTATTTCCCTATAGCAAAAGAAAGCAAATTAACTTACGTGACACACTGAAGGCAAAGCAATTAGGAAATTCTTCAAATAGTTTGGTAAGAAGGGTACTTTTTCCACTCCCAGAAGGTCCACTTATAACAATAGGTTTGGGCATTATCAAAATAAATCTACTGGAGAATTCTGTGAATTCTAGAAATTAAAAAAAAAATGATAACTTTCATTTAATTATAGTCTTACTCTTTGATGAAAAATCATAGTCTATAGGAAGTGCAAAAAAATATATGTCAATTCTTAGTGTAGAAGGTCATATCAAAACAGTAATCAAAAACACTATTAGAGCAGAAAATTAAGTGCTATGAAAATTAGAGACAAATTCATAATTAACATTTTTTGAAGTATTTCTGAAAGATAAGACTGTGCAAAACCATTTAGAATGGGAGATTCTGGAAAAAGAATGCTTGATTAAATGAAGCTCTCTTTTTCCATTTAGAAAGATCTCTCTAAATGGGACAGCAGAGTTTATGGCATTGCTAAAGTGCACTACCTTTGAAATTAGTACATGTGTATCCAAGGCCAAACAAAAAAAAAATATGTGCTGTTCAGGTTACATCTCAAAAAAAATTTTTAACAAAATGATTTTCTAAATTTTTCTTAAAAATACTTTGGCATGATAATGTACAAGTCAACATTGGTGGGTGCCTAGTTATGAAAATCAAACAAATATTTTTAAATCAAAAATATTATAAACAAAAAAAACCCAACCAAACAAACAAGAATTACCAAAGCGTTTATCTCTTGACTCTCATAACACGCAGAGAACAAATAATTATCATATGACATGTTGTGCAATTGTGTGCCAAAGATTATTATCATTTTCCAGAAACTTCCAGCAAGATAGTAATTACTAGTGCTTGTTATGACTATTAATCATGTCACTTATAATATTTCATGTAGAAGAGATTTTTTTATTCAATATAATTTTTTAACAAAATAAAATATATGACAAAGAACAGTGATTTTTTTAACACTGTTTAATAGATGCCGAAAATGCGGTCTGAATGAGCAATGAGAGCGCAAACTCATACATACAATTTAATGACTAATAAGAGAATCTGCCAATGTTTTTATCCCCTGAAAGAAGCTTGAAAATAACCCCCAATTCTTTCGCTTAATGACTAATTTATTTTCTTCAGTTACCTATCATACGCACCATACCCATGGCGAAACATTTTTTTAATTTTAAAAATTATTTTAGTTCGTTAAAATTGTTGTTTTTAGACTAAAATATCTCCCAATAACAAAAAACTGCATACCTTTTTGTAGATGGTAGCTTATTTTACTAAAAGACCTGGTAAATGCTTGTTTTATCATGAACAACAATCCGTTAGCCGTCACACCAACGAACGATGTGTGTGTTACAATCTATGTAAATTTGTTTCCTATTTGCAAATGAATTTATACGGTAGGATAAAACGCCTAATAGATTATGACGAGTGAAAAGTAAAAATTAAAACCCAATACATACCGTAATATTCCGTATTTCAATCAAGATAAAACACTTTTTATATACAGCGCAAGAACATCATTTCATCATATTAGTTTCCATAGAAACCAATAAAGATTCAGGTAATCCTTGCGAGATCTGTGATAAAATCGATAAAAATAATAGGCCTATGACAAGAACACGATGTAACGTCACAAAATCGATCTATCTTTCTCAAGCAATCCTTGGGAAAGCTTTATAATATATATAAATTAATTAGATAAGATTACTAAGCTTTCATCGACCGTTTGATTGTAATGTATACCGTCACCATATACCATTTTGCCTGGATGTCATTTTCAAAAGAAAATCGTTTATTATTTCAGCCGGATAAACTTCGCAAAGAAAATCACTATATCATTCATTATGATACTTAAGGGTCAATGAACCTGATGATGAGGCAAAATAATATATCTTAATTATATACGTTTAATTTGACAGAGATGCTGAACTGAAGTGAGCCGGATTATTTAATTTCTTTAAAATCTATAACTATATTATTATATATTTCATAATGTAATAAATTGATTTTTCTAGCTTTCACCATCCTCGCTAGTAGCCAAGAAATTCTGATCAGCTACTCTGGTTTGGGACAAGAGTAGCGGATCAGAAACTCTTAATTGGCCAGCGAAGATGAGATTTCACTAAATTATTAATTAGTCAAGTACTCATTACCAAGAGTACTTAGATGAAAGACAAATTGGACAATCATGTGAATGGTCACATTTTTTTTTACAATCAAATTTGTATTGTAATGTATTATAATTTAAATTTCTAAAGTTAAAAATTACAGGAATGTTCATTCAAATTTATCAAATACATGTACTACTATTTACAATAAAAACTGATAAGTTTATTTCTTTTGTTAGTTCAAGAAAAACAGCATTCCGCATGTATTGAACTCGAAATTAAAAGACACCACAGAGAACGCTACATAATTTGCTTTATATTTTGTCGTTTTAATGACTATATATACATTTAATATATAAATATAGCCCTTTGATGAGGTCGATCCATAGATATATAGACTTCACAGAAAAGCATATCGACCGAGCACGAAGTGCGAGGTCGATATGATTTTCTGTGAAGTCGATACATCTATGGATTGACCGAATTAAAGGGCTACATTTGTTATATTATTTTTCACAGAGGTTGATAAAAAACAATTTGAAAAAATGGGAACAAGCCACAAGTTTTCCATCTTCGCTAGCTAAGGGTTTCTGATTCGCTACTCTCCTCATAAACCCTTGGCATACGGTGTTCATAAAGATCGGGATTTTTTCCAGAGTTCTGATCGGATTTCAGTACACACCTGTCGACCAATCATCAAGTGCTTTTTGTAAATGACGATGTTTGCGTTTGGGATACTTCTTGACTCTTTAATCCCGGAATTGAAAAACGCAAGTAAATAACGATCCGTAAGATAACATGCAATTCTATGAATAGCTATGGTGTCATCCAATATCTTCTAAATATGTGATTAAGAATCTATATTGAAGCTTCCGATTTGTACTATAAGTAATAAATAAACATTACTCAATTAATTGCTTCTAAATTATTCTTGAAAAAACTTTAATTTATTTGTTTTAAACACGCGTCTTTATTTCTGTCGATGACGCAATCTGTGCGTACCTGATAGATTCAAGATCACGTGACGAAAATAATCCCGTCTTTTGACTTCACCGTATGCCAAGGGTTTATGAGGAGAGTAGGTATCAGAAACCCTTGGCTAGCGAAGATGCAAGTTTTCTCTCTTAAACACTTAGAGACTAGAAATCAAATATAATTTGAATATAATGTTTAATATAATTGAGTTAAACTTTCCTTGACATTTTTAGATTTTTACATAATTTAGAGGATTTACTAATTGAAAATACTACAAATGTACATCTTTTTGATTATGTTTTGTATCAATTTTAACAAATATATTCAATATGTTCTAATATTAAGTAGATCCTAATTCAGGCCATTGTTACGTCTTATGAGTTACAGAACATTACAAATTTAAATACAAGTTGAAGTATATATATTTTTTTTCAGAAACATCAAGTTATATAATGTATTAGCTGTAATTGTGAAATCTTTCCTCTTAATTTTTTGTTTTACAGAAAACTACCTCTATTTTAAGAAACATCAAGTCGATATGCATTTCAGATTCTATAAATAGTAACTCAAGTCTATATGCTGTTATACACTAAATCATGTGACCAAGTTTAAGCCAATCAGAGAGCTTGGAATATATGGTTAAAATATATACAGGAATATTGTTTTCGTTAGAAAGGATTGGAGATATTGAAGATCATCGCATTCCATTTCATGGTGTAAGTCAACTTTTCCACTCGGTGAGCAGAGTTTGGACGCTGTTAACGGAGATAAAAGAGAACAAAGATAAGCATGCCACATACTCATGATCATGGATGTGCAAAGATCTAGATAAATTATCGAAGACAATGAATAATATAAACAATTTGCCAGTGCATTCCCTCTGAAAGTGTAAATAAGAGCGATTCTGGGGAGATGGGCACTCCATGTAATTCGGAGTCGGGTACCTTGTTTTATTATAAGGTTGAAAAATTTTATTTCAGAAACAAGTGCCCGTGTCCGTGATCTTATAATTATATCAGAAAAAACAGTACTATCATAATTGTTTATCATAAAAAAAGATTGTATAAAATTAATGTAGATAAATTGTTCACTGTTTCTTTCTAGTTTATCTAAAATCATGCTTTTAGGATGTCGTTCGTGGTAATGAGAGTAATTTTAATTTTTTTACTGGCAGAGTATATGTCTCTGTTATAATAATTATGTTCTTCATTTTTCGTAGTGCCGATGCGAGTTATCCCCCTTTCCTAGTTCCAAAGAAAACATTATAAATCCATTCAGCACCACCCAGTTTCTTTTAATGTTTTATGCTTTTCTAGGATGCCTTTCATAGATCTAGAAAAGGTTTGAAAAAATAAAATAAAGGTTCTTTTCAAGGGGCTATTTTTTCTGCCTAAATTAACTCCCCTTTTCACGTGCCACAGTTTTGTTTAGAGTAATTTCCCTTCCTAATTTTCAAACGATGTTGTTCTGCACTACGACTGAAAAGAGGAAAATCTGAGACATTTTTCCGCGGAAAAAAGATGCTTATGAGGTTAGTACACTTCAAAGAAGATGTGTCGGCTAATTTCATTGGCTCTTTCACAGATGAATCATGATGACGTTGTTGTTGCTTGGTCTCGGTTGTGTTGTTAGTAACTGCTCAGCTTTGAAGCAAAGCTTAGAGAGAGAAGACGTGTTTTCAGTCAAGAGATATAAAATACATGGTTACTGTCTTGAAATATAAGCGATATTTGGGCGAGGGTAAGAAAACGTGATAGAGGGCGAGGCTTGCCTCTTAAGTTTTCGACCCGAGCCCAAATATCGCTTATATTTCAAGACAGTTATCATGTATTTTGTTTATCCTGCAACAAAATTTTACATTTCAATGTCCAAAACAAGCTTTTTCCGACAGATTTAGGCCATCACTGCAGTTGAAACTATGACGCCATGGCGTAAACATTGCAATATACTTGACGTCACAATGCTTTTAGAACGTCGGAATACATGCACGAGGCTTTATTAGGGCAGTGACCGGATAAAGCTTTGGTTTATTAGGTTACCTTTATTAGGTCAATGCAAGGGGTAGTTGCAGGATAAAATATTTTACAAAATTTCTACGAACTGAGGTGCACTTTAGTCATGGAGATGAATAAAAGCACTCATAAAAGGGTAATGCTTCATTTTGCCTTGTCATTTCTGTGCAAGAATAGTTCCCTTCGAGTAGTTTGTATCCTAGGAATTTGCTCGAGGGATAAACCTGTGTGCTAAGTACAGTCTCAATTAAGTAGTTCGGTCATACCCACAGATACCCCTATATGAAGCCTTGCCGGTCTTTTTTCTCTTTTACAATGAATTGATCTCGACTTGAGAAACACTGAAATTAATTTTCCTCAATACTTTTTGTACAGTCTGGCCAGTACATCTGTCCACAGTCATAGGTTACTTTAGGCAAATTTATCATAAGATTTTTCATACCATCGGTCCATTCATCCAGTCACTTTTTTAAATTTCACATTCTTAGACTGAATTCATTAAACGATCGATAAAACCTTTTTTTCGGGGGGGGGGGGGGGGGGGGGGGGCTAGCCCATCTTCCTTCTCAAGCAAAAACAAAAGATATCATCGATAGGAAACACAGAAAAAAAAAATAATTAATAAGCCTGGTATAATAAACTGGCAAAATTAATTGGGGCCACCTCATACCCCTTCCGATTTCTACTAGTCTGAATGTTAAGTTGTATTGGGGGAGGGGGTATGGCTGTGTATGTACTTCATGCTTATTACATAAACATGATTTATAATGCATGTATTTTTTCTTCTCCCAGATGGAATCAATATTTAAACCTGAAAATAAAGTTCTTAAACAGGACATTTTAAGGCATTTTACTGTGATTCTTACGGGGAGAGGTTTCGACCTTTGGAACCCCCTTCTATTTCAACAATTAGTGAAATAGATCTATTAACTTCATTACTTTTTAATTACGGTATTCAAACAGATTAAAAGGAAATGCTTTCACATGGATGTGGCATCGTTTTGATAGTGAGACCAGAAAAAAAAACTTATCTGAAAAAAAATCTCGACAAGCCAAAAAAAAAGGGGGGGGGGTATCCAATTTTTTTCAGTACCATTTTTATACACTACCACATTACCATTCTATGACTATGCTGAAACAAAAAGTGGGAGGGGTGGGTGTGTTGGAGGACAAACGGCCTTTCACTGAACATTTCAACAGAGTTTGTAAAAAATTATAATAAAAAATTAGGGCCCCCACGATTCTACGTGCACGTTTCACGAGGAAGGACATATTTCATATT